CTGTCTGATTGTCTGGCTGTCTAACTCCATGTTGCCTTTGCTCAGCCAGAAGTGTTAACTTGTTTGGCCAAGATTTACGATTTCTTTTCCCCCAACCCACTCACCTCCACCTCGGCGGAGGAGTGGGAGTTTGAAAGCCTCGAGGCATCGAATTCAAATTCAGCTGACAAAAGCATAAATCGACTCGGGCTCACTCACTTTGATGTGGAAATGGAAGACTGGATATGAAAAGCTTGTTGTAATTTTCAATTTCTGTCAAAAAGAATCAACTCAAGTAGACGGTAGACGGCAGATAGGAGGGCAGGACAGGACACCTTGGGAAAACCACTTAACCGCACTTAATGCCACAAACAATTTTACAATTTGAACTGTCTGCTGTCTTCTGTCTGCTGTCAGTAGTCCTGTGTCTGCTGGCCCCCTAGAAAATGCCCGCTTAAGTGCCCTGGTACATGGCTCTTTTTACAGTCATTAAAGTTAATTGTGTAGTGAAGAAAATTGTGTGGAAATGTTTGGGAACAGAAACCGGGAGCACCACCTGCTCGCTCGTGACATTATTGTGGTGGGCCCGATGGCTGCCTGCCTGCCGAGCTTTAATCCTTCGATTCTATAAATTACCACACGATTCCGTGGCGAAAAATTATTTTTAATTAATAATAAGTTTTAAGTGCGTTGGCATGACAGCCGGCTGATAGCTTCCCTTCCTTGATTCTCCCCCTGAACTTTGTGTAACTCGATGCCCCTTTGGCACTCTGCTCCGCAGTGTTTTCGTCTCATTTTCATTCAGTGTTCAGTGTTCTTGTTGGAGCTGCGTCGTCTATTAATTAAATTAAAAAGTTCACAGCCAGCGATGTCGTCAACTAAAATGGGTGTTCTCCCACCAGCTCATCAGCATACAAACTATGAAAAAACTACAAAAAGTGCAGGGCCTTTGAAGTTGTAAGAGTTGCTTTAAGAGGACATTGTATTAAATGTGCTAAATTAAGTAAATATTTTATAGCTGTAGATGTTCTTCAATATGCAAATCATTAAAGCAATTAAGCGCCCGTCTGGCCAACTGATTCAATTGAACTCGACAGCCGATCGACCGCGAGCCCTTTGTAGTAGTTTAAAGTTTAAACAGTTCATTGCTCGCTTGTAGTGTTTTTTATATGTAGTATTTTTTATTTCTGCTATATAGTAGTGTTGATTTTTTTTTCCCTCGCATTCCGCTCGACAATTATGCATTATTTACAAAAGTTAATTGCCGGCGCGCAACAGCATTGTTCGACAAGGACCACGCCCACTGTAGGAGGATGGCAATTAACAACATTATTGACTCTGTTCGCTGGCGAAAATTCGCTGGCAACGGGGGGCGGAAATTGGGCGGGAGGACGAGCCGCAGCGGCACTTTGAAATGCTAATGAAATTGCCTTTTAAAGCAGAAGCTGCCGAGGGTAGAACGAAAGCCCAGAAGCTACTCTGAAAATGTCCAAGCTGCCAAGTCCTGGGGCTCTTGCGAGAGAGCTTCCTTTTTTTTTTGATTTTTTTGCCAGACTTGCTTAATTGATAAATTGATTTAATTGCAAAAAGCCTTAATTGCACGACCACACACACACGGAGCCCTCACGAAACCGTCCACCGCTGCAATCTCTTGAAATTTAACATTTCATTTGAGCTTCGATGGCCTATGGCCTCTCACCCTTCCTGTGGCAAGTCCGCAAATTGCAATTCCCATTGTCCTGGATGCCACAGCCACAACCTGCCACGAGGCTCTCGTTAATGCGATGTATTTTGTCAGCATTTGAAGTGTCACATCAGCTTTCGATTCAATTGGATTTGGCTTTGGCTTTGTCTGGGTCTGGTCCTCGGGCTGCGGTGGCCAATTTGAAGGATAAATTACTGATTTCGTCTATTGTCTGTTGGGCATTCGTTGGTTACACTTGCCCGGAATGGGGCCGAGTGCAGGTTAATTCGGAGAAATGGGCTTTAAATTGCAGAAATGAAAAAAATCGTCAAACATTCATCTTCCTTGGCAAACTAATCTCAGAAATCCTTTACACATCTCTGGCTTCTCGACTTGATTTCTCGTCATAATCATCCAGCATTTCCTTTCCGATCCTTTCGATTTTATGGCCAACCATTGCGGGAAATCCTTGCCAGCTCAACACTTTCCTAGTTTTGAAAGTTTTTGGAAGCTTTTTGGGTTTAGTAGCCGGTTAGTCCGATGCCCTCGGGATGGGACGCATTCCAGGGCCCAAGGCATAAAAAGGTTGTTGTCTCTCTTCCTCCTGCCATCCATCTCCCTCATGCTGACACACTCCTTTCTCTCTTCCCAGATCCTTGCAAATTTATTGCATTTACTCGATGAAGTTTTTCCACTTTTCCTCCTTTGGCTGGCTGGCCTTCTCCTTTTGTGGTTTTGCTTTGATTTAATTTTGCCGCTGTTGTCGTCTCTATCCCTACCCCTCTCCCCCCTCTCTCTCTCTTCTTGTTGTTTCTGGCTTTTCTGCAATTTGCGAGCTTTGTCCAATTGGCTTTTCTGGTGTCCTGCCAATGTCCTAGCCCGGGTTCCTTGTTCTCGCCTTGTCCTGTCACTCATGCGTCAGCGGTATTTGTGTTTGCTTCCCTTTTCCCTGCCTGGCTTAACCCACCCGGGGCGAAGGAGTACACAACTTTTTAAAGTTTTCTTCAGAATCCAAAAGTTACTACTGCCTTACTTTAAACTTTTTTCCATTTTGGCCAAATTTGCTGCAGGGTTCCCTTCGAAAAACCACTGTCCACTGTGAGCCACAATATATCCCCTAGCGAAGGTTATATCGCTTATATATATGAAGGGGAGGGTCCCCTTCAAAAATATACGGAAATCCATGGAGCCACTATATGGCCCCTAGAGATGGCTATATCTTTGGGAATATGCATCCGATTCTTAAGCGGAATGCCTTAAACGATTTATATTTCGATTCTTCATAAATCCTCATCAAAATCTGGAAGGATGCTAATTATTAGATTTTTTGTCAAATTTTCTGGAGGGTCCCCTTCAAAAATGTACGAAAATGCATGAAGCCACTATATGGCCCCAGGAGATGGCTATATCTTTGGGAATATACATCCGATTCTCAAGAGGAATACCTTAAAAGATTTGTATTTCGATTCTGCATAAATCTCCATCAAAATCTGGAAGGATAATAATTTTTAGATTTTCTGTCAAATTTTCTGGGTCCCCTTCAAAAATGTACGAAAATGCATGGAGCCGCTATATGGCTCCTAGAGATGGCTATATTTTAGGCAATATTCATCCGATTCTTAAGCGGAATGCCTTAAACGATATGTAGATCTCTCTAAGTCTGCATCAAAATCTAAGAACATACAATTTATTTCTTCAATATTGTTTAATGTATTATTTAAGAATCCCCCCCAAGCCAGCTTTGATTTTTGCACTGCTACTCCCCTGATTTTGAGGGCAAATCGCTGGCAACTCCCTTTTTGTTTTGTAGTTTATGTTCAACATATTTTATTGATTACATATCCAGCTCCAGCCCAAGACATCGTGTTTTGGCACAACTTTATGGGATTTCTTTCCCCAAATGCCCCAAACCTCAGACCCCAGGAACAGAAATAATGGGGAAAGATGAGGGGCCAGTGCTGCTTATTGCATTCTGGCCAGCTCCCGCAGTCGACTTGGCAAATAAATTGCTTATTTGTAGCGACGATTTGCGGTAATTTGTGATTTGTGGTGGTGACATCATCCGCTCCTCTCCAGGGTGGAAGCACCACTGTGCCTGCATCTCGCCACTTGGCCATTAATTAAACATATTTGCCGCTTCCTCGGCCCCATAATCCATTCTGTCTGGTGTGCCATATGATGACTATTAGTTAGAGTTCTGGGAACTGATGAAATATCCTCGTCCTTAAAGGAGCTTCTCTCTTTTTCTGGGGGAACCATTCAATTTCCTTTAGTCCTGTGCCGGCCCACTCTTCTTGATTACAATTTATTGACTGACTTTTGCGGCAAAATCCTGATCCCCTTTCTTCAGCCAGCCTCGCCCACTTGTATGCATATCGTTAGCAAATTGCAGGCTCGCCAGGACACCCGAAAAAAGGATTTGCAAGCGGGAGTGTGTGTGTGCGGTAAGCTAATATCCAACCAATTTCCGTTTGACTCGCTTCGCGTTTTTTTCTGCCCTGTTCCGACAGCCAGGTGGAGTTGGCCAACCCGGCTCTCAAGCTCCTGGCCCTGCTGGCTCTGCCTTTTGTGTTTCCGTTTTAAAAATTGGAAGGCAGAAGCGCCCGGTTCTGGTACCGCCTCCCCAGAGTCCTTCTTCGTTCTACCCCGTTGCTGTGTCCTTTTAGCCGCTGCCGTATAAATTTGTACAAAAGCTTAGGCAATTTTTTCGCCTTTTGTTTGCTTGTCGTTGCTGCTGCTCTCATTTGCATATTCGGCACATTCCAAATACCCCCGAATGTTTGTCCTGAACACCCCCAGATATCCTTTGACCATCCTTTGGCTCATTCCCCCTTTATGAGCTGTGATAATAAAAATTCCGGGGGCTCGGATAAGGATATTAGCCTTTAAAACAAAAGTTAGTAGATGGTATTCTAATTTTAGAATTTCAGCTGCTAACTAGACAAGCTTATTTGTTTTCAAATGTCAGGAAGCAGGAAAGAAGCCACAAATCCTGCGGTTTCACAGCCACAAGCCACAAAGAGCTTGGCATATTGACCCTAAAAAGGGCGCCTGACCAATAGGCGTTGATTGGCAGCCGAACTCCCTACCGGGCGGGGCTCACTCCTCCCTCCATTGAAAACTGTCAAAGCTAATAGCTCTGAAAACCCCAAAATACCGAAAACTGTAAAGTGAAGTGGCTGCCAGGAGCCACTCGAACGCTTCAAGGGTATTGACATCTCAATGGCTCGGGACTTGGGACTCGGGACTCGGGACTCTAGGCGGGAATGTAATTTAATTAGGGCAAACTTTCCTCGAGAGGACTCGAACTAACCTCGAACTCTGTACCTTTTTGCAGCAATCTCGCGGGAAGACGGCGATGACTCGACGCACCACCATCACCACCACCACCACCATCGCGGCGGCCACGGTGGCCACCACAATCACGGTAACAAAGTTCCATACAACGGCTACAACTCGGAGGAATACTTGGACCGGCTCGAGCCCAACGGCAACATCCCCGCTGACAAAAGCAATTGCAGATACGGAGGTGAGTTCCAGACATTGAAATATACACTTAATGAATAGTTCTTAGATATATTTTGTTAAGAATTTGCCCTAAAAACTCAAGCTTGAAGCCATTTTCGCGCAATTTAAGCAACTAAGAGACTCATTCATAGGGATTTGCGTAATTTATCGCCCGCTTGTGCTATAATCTCTCATTTAGGATGCCCTCCTCCGGCAGAACTAATTTAATGATAAGATGCCAGAGAGATGCCCCCCACGCTCCGATATTAGTCAGTGGGGGCTGACTGGCAATAATTTATGCCTCCATCTTGTTCGAGGCAGCGTGTCTAATTGTGGATTCCACTCCCAGCTATCCCAGCTATCCCGTTCCCTTGTAATTTATCAAATTTTTGTCTCATTTGGCTAATGCAAGCAAGTTATTCCTGTTCCATTTCTGCGCCATTTGAGCTTATCTAAGGATATTCTCGCCGATAAGCCCTCTCCACTCTGTCATCGTTTCTTGCCAGTTTGTACTCCGTTTTCTCATAATTGTAAATTGCAATTTTATGCAAACAATGGATGCTTCCTCTGAGCAAAGGAGAGTCGAGGACACGATAAGCCTGCAAATGTAATGGCTTCATTTGTTGCTTCTGTACTCGAAGCTGTTGCTCCTCCTTGTTATTGCCCTTGTGAAGCGGGCCACTCAACTCGAAGCGACTCCTCCCCGGCTCTGGGCTCTTCCTTTGTCTTGCCGATGATGTCTAGGCGTTACGGAATCGGGCCATAAAGCAACGGAAATGGAAATATTAACAAGCAAATGCACAGCACAGCAGTATCAGGGGGAATTATTCATAACCAAATGGATACTCTGCATGCTCCATATATCTCTGCCGGATTTTAAACTCCATGGCCATTATTCCCATGAAAGAGCTCTTTTCCCTTGAAAGGTCCTTAAAGCACCTCCCCTGACATTAAATTCCAAAGCTGAGTTATGTGTTTTGGTTATGGAGCTGCCTGGGATTGTTGTGGAACTATTCCTGCGAAAGGACAAGGCCAGGGAAAGTGACACAGCTTTACCTAGTTGGTGAGCTGCTTTATAAAGATCTATAAAGTCTATTAAATCGTTTAATATTTTAAAGCTCTAAATAGTTTCCAAACTAATTAGAATACTCCAAATATTTATAAACCTAGAAAGCAAACACAACTATCCTGCCAATTTTCGTCCTTAACTGAGAGGACTTTGGAGTCAAAGTTTTTAATTCTCTTATCTATCAAAATCAAAATCAATTCTGTAAAGTTGGGCCTTCGGGCCACCCCATATGCCCACGCAATCATAAAGTTATATAACGCACAATAAATTACAGAGTTCTGAAAGCATTCCACACAGTTAGCACACAGGACACCCCCGGATCCTGGCCTGGCCTGGCCGTCTGGCATTCTGTTGGCAAAAAGCAATTTCAGTTTTTCATGGTGCTCCCATTTTTTTGCTGTTCTGATTACATGATTTATAAGTTATCTTCGGTTTGCCAACAACAACTGGAAAGCATTAGAGGGGAGGGCGAAACTGTCCAGGATATGAACAATTTATGTTCAGCGCTTTCGCAAAAGATTATTGTTTATATGCGCAAATTATGCGAACATGTTCCCCCCCTCAAAGCGGGAATTATAAAAAACATATTCGCCAAAAACTGAACAAAAGCGAAAAGAATTCGCATAAAATTTAGAGCCCACCCCCAAGCCCCGGCAAGGACTCTAAATCATATTTAACAATTATGCGTGAAACATAAAATTCAGGATTTAATTTAATTGGAAAGGGGGATGGAGGGTGGAGGCCTTCCACCGTATGATAAACTGTGAGAAGTTGCGATTTTTTCAGGGAAGGACACCACCTGTAAGCCACTTTCATGAGGTGGCGGCGGGAGGTCCTTTATATAAACTCTACTCAACCTGCGCATAAATCCTTTTAACGCTTATTTGGCTTCTGGTGCGCTTTCTTCTTATTTTCTGCCTTTGAGCTTTTGTTTGTTTTTATTTTGTACTTTGACTCGTTGGATCCCGTGCGTTGTTTGTTTTTAATGCCGCATCCTTATTGCTTCCTTTCGCTCCCTGGCACCCTTTGAAAGGACTCTTCCGGCGGAGTGCGTTGGCCTCTTCCCGGGGAGCAACTGTCTGTGATTTAAATTTATTGGCAAAATACTTAAAGTAATCTTTTTGTTTCACTCGGTTTGGAGTACGTGTCTGGGGATGGTGTCCTTTTAGAGCAACCCTTTGACAACCTCCGTTTTTTGTACCTTCGACATCTATTAGGGGTCCTTCTTGCGGTTCATTTTAAAATTCTAACTGGCAGCCGCAGCCGGAATCCCTGCACACCATTGTCTTGCGGTTTTAGGCAGCGTCTTTGTTGTGGCTTCTTTTTCCACTGTTTTTCAGGAGGAAGGTAGACCCATCCCCAACTCTGAGCCCCACACCCCGGAAGGGGTGTCGGTTCGTTGCAGTTTATTAAGCGAAGCAAAAACATGTCGCCTTGGCTGACTTGTTTTTTCCGCGGCATTCCCCACTTTTTAATGATTTAGTTTCCGTTTCTTTTGGGCGGAAGATTTGGGAACTCTTCCTCCGGCCGCCCCTTTTTGTTTGATGTCATCCTGCGTGGGAGGATTTTTTCTGCTCGTGGTCGGTTGGGCTAATGAAGCGACTTATGCAATGACATGGAAAATGTGCGGTCTGAATTTTTCTCTCCGTTTGATTTTTCCTCATTCCCGGTTGCCTTTTTCGAGTGTTTTTACAGCCACTGCACAGCATTTGCATATCGAGGAGAGCGCTGGAGGAGTTTGGCTTCATCAAAGGACCAAAAGGGTTTTCGTTTCGCTCTTTCTGGGCTTTGGCAAATGAAAACTTGCTAATTGGCTGCCGCACTTGGTGTTGGGTGGCATTTTTAAAAACATTGCCACAGAGTACAAATGTAGCTGCTCTTTGAGCCGCAAGTTGGTTCATTAAAATCGGAATCAGAAGGTGTTTTGCAACATTGCCATTGAGGTTTGAGGCAAGTCTTGTCTGTAAAGTACCCTTTCGAGATCCTAAATAAAAAGGGATGGCTCTGCTTTCCCCCGATTCTAGCCACACTAATGCAATCAATTTTCTTTGGCCAACTTTGCGGAGTGAAAGCTTTATAATAATCCAAAGTCAAGCCACGCCCCACCAACTTTTGGTTTTCCCCCCGGCAATTTTCGCCATTGTACCATCCCACCCCCCCACACTTCCCGGTTCTTGGCCATTTTTTTTGGTCGTTGTGTGATGAAAAATAAAATTGTCCAGAAAATATCTTTTGACAATTCACCGCTTTATGCATACTAAGCTCATTATGGCCCGACTTGAAGCGCAGAACATCCTTTTTATACCCTTGCAGAGGGTATTATAATTTTGGTCAAAAGTGTGCAACGCAGTGAAGGAGACATCTCCGACCCTATAAAGTATATATATTCTTGATCAGGATCACCTCCTGAGTTGATATGAGCATGTCCGTCTGTCCGTCTGTCCGTCTGTCCGTCTGTCCGTCTGTCCGTCTGTCCGTCTGTCTGTCCGTCTGTCTGTTTCTACGCGAACTAGTCTCTCAGTTTTAAAGCTATCGTCTTGAAACTTTGCACACACCCTTCTTTCCTTTGCACGCAGTATATAAGTCGGAACGGCCGGGATCGGCCGACTATATCCTATAGCTGCCATATAACTGATTGATCGGAAATGGTATAACTTTGGTGTTTTTAGAGTTAGAGAGTTCAAATTTGACATGAGAGCTATTTTTGGCAAAACATTACGTCATGCCAAATTTCATAAGGATTGGCCGACTATATTCTATAGCTGCCATATAACTGAACGATCGGAAATGACCCAACTTTCGTGTTTTTGAGTATAGAAAGCTGGAATTTAATACAGATTCTATTTTTGGTCAGTTGATCCAACCTACCAAATTTCATAAGGATCGGCCGACTATATCCCATAGCTGCCATATAACTGAACGATCGGAAATGGTATTTGGTAGAAATATCAACTTTCGTATTTTGGAAGATAGAAGTTTGGGACTTTTTTTTTAGATTTTGTATTGTAATAAATTGGATTATATATTCCTATTCCCATAAGGATCGGCCAACTATATCCGATGTTTGCGATATATATCCGGTTTTAACTGCAAGGGTATATAAACTTCGGTTCCGCCCGAAGTTAGCTTTCCTTTCTTGTTTATTCGTCCTTTTGCTCTTTGTGGCTCTTTATTATTTCTTAGCCGAGAAGGGCGGGTCTCGAAAATGTGCTGGAAAACTTTTTAATAGTGCCATAGCCGGTCGTAGCCGGGCCATCGCCCCCCGCCGGTTTGATGAGCATTTTTATTTTATTGCATCTTGCTGTGGCCAACAATGCCCCGTGGGCAGTGGGCAGTGGCACGCCCCCGTCCAAGAAAGTGGCACAATATTAAAATTCTGGCTTGTCATTATGAATTCCTTAGCCGCCTCACCGCCAGATACAATAAAAATAATAATGGCTCCTGGTCCTAAAAGGTTCTCCATTTTAAAGCGCCAGAAGGATGTGGGCGGGAAACCTTTAACGATAATTGTTTTAAATTAAAGTCCCAGGCAATGTCCTTTAGGTTTATTAAACTTCTATGAATGGAAAAGTAGATCGCCGAAGGGCTTTCAGGGTGCAATCAGCGCTCATTCTGACTGACAGCTGAAGTATCCATAACGTCATCGAAGGACCTCGGGTCATAAGCCCCCAGACCCCGAAACAGAATTAGGATTCATAATATGACAGAGCCTTGGAAGGGGCCAGGGTGGGTGGCTGGAGTGGGCAGTGGGGTGGCGGCAGTTGTAACTAAAGGTGGTCTTGAACTGATATCCTGGCAACACTCACGTCCCGGACATGCGTGTGCGCAAATTATAAGCAAAACTCAAATGTGGTTGTCCACATAGATACGTCCGAATCGAAATACCCACAGTCACCGGTCGGGGCGTTCCCATACATTTGTGTATTGGTCCTTGGGGAGGAGCAGACACTCCATTGCTACGGCCAGACACTGAAAGAAAAGGGTGTTTGATGTGTCCTAGATATTATATAGTCAAGTCTTTTAAAAGGGCACTAGATTGAAGGTATTTAAGGCTTATGGTTCCTCCCCTTTTTGCTCAGTACATCCTTCAGCCTCCTCCCCCCATTCTCGCTGCAGGCTCGTCATATGCCTGTCCTGGCCTTCTGAGCAGATAACGTCCGTTTTGTGTGTTGACTGTGACAGCCTTGGGGCATCGCCACATCCATCGCCGGGCCTTATCCCCACCGGTCTACCTATGGCCTACGCATTTCATTTGGCCGGTCCGGCGCTTCCTTTCACTTCCTTCCTGCCGCACACACACACACCCACCACTTCGGATTTTGATTGTCATTTGCGAGTGTGTGTGCATGTGGGTGTGTGTGAGTCCTTTCGCATGAAATTGCTGCAAATTATTCCCATTACGTTTTTGGAGGGCTGCATTTCAAGTTGATTGTCGTTTACATTTCGCAGACCAGAGGCCGGGGGAGGGCCTGATTAAGTTTTGGAATTCGAACAGTCATACCATCTGACATTGGAATAGGAACAGCAATTGGTAATGGGGCAATCAGGCAGTGTTTCATGATTTATTCACAGGCCAGGGCATCGATCATAGACCCCAAAACGATTAATTTTCCATTAGCATTTTTATGAGAATTAATTTGCCATAAATTAGGCCACCTGAACCTTGCTTTGATATTGAAAAATCTGAAAAATGGGCCATAAATAGCTAGAGGGATATTAATGGTTTTTGAGGTGTACCGCCCCGATCGGATGATCGAATGATCAATAAATTAAAGAAGCTTCGGAAGGGGAATGTTTCAGTATCTCTGGAGATCAATCAGTGCTGTGGAATACATCCCAACTGTAGTCTGTTTACCGAGCAAATATCGCTCTTTGAATCGCGCCCGCCAATGGCTATATTCCGCATATTGTCTACGTGTGCCCCGAGTCCTGTTGTGTCCTGCGTGGAATCCCAATCCGCTCAATCGCTCAGTCGGTGTGCTATTGCCCAGCAATTCTGGCCTGATTTTTTTCTATTTTCGCAGTTCTCCTGACAATGCCGCGTCCTCCTGCATGACGAGAGCTCCACGGCAGCATTGTGCACTTGCTTTGACTTCTGTCTCCGCTTTTTTTGTTCCCAGCCAGTCTGTCTGCCCCGAATGACAAACAACGGATGATATATTGCAGTGGCGGCCCAGCCACGCCCCCCGCCTTTTGTTTGCAGTTGCCGCAAATCAGTGGCCAATACGCAGTCCGGGACGAAATCTGATGGTATTGAATTGTGGGAGCCGAGAGCTTCCTATAAACACAGACCGCCGTTGTTTATAGAAGCAAGCTTTTCAAGTTAATTAAAACGAAAAACGAGGGCGAACAAAAAATAAAGGGGGGTATTTTCAATTACAGAAGCATATCTTGGCGGCTCTTAAGTTCGTTTTACGACCGGTTGTAAAAATATTATTGATAAATCCTGATCTCGGACGATGAGAAACCCATTTTATGGCTTATTAATATCGAGAACATCCCAGCTGCAACTGCAAATAAATTGGATCCTGGCCCGAGTCCAGGGCTCCATCCTGGTGGCAACTTTTCACCACCTGGAGACGGTGTCCTCCCGCAAAGAATCGCATTAGAAATCAATTCATTTCAGTTCTATTGTGCAATTTCCGAAGTCTGGGAGGTCTGGAAAGGAAAAATGGCGAGTAAATAGACGACAAATTGAGGCTGTAAATCTCCTCTGATGGAGCACTTTGTGACAAATCAATTGGATAAAGGTTGTGGTCAGTACAGGACTCAGCTGGCATTAATCTGGCTTACGGTAGGTGTATCCCTGCTCCGACTCTGATTCGGGAAATGGGTGTGAAATTTAAGTTTAGGAGAAGTCCTATATTTTTTGGGCTACTTCCTCTGCCACTTCCTGTTCCCGATTTTTTTTTCTGGGTCGTTCCACACCCTCAACAATGTTACATAATGCCAGAGTTTAGTGTGAAATTGTTGCAACCCACCACCCCAGACCCCGGGCATTCTTCCTGGCCGCCACCCTGTGCCTCGTACGGTGGCACTTCTTTTGAAATTGTGCACATAAACTAATTCCGCATGCATGAAATGACTTTCATAGAAAAATGGGAAAATTGCAGTGGCCTAGCAGGGCGTTTCCCGGGCCTTCCTGTCTCTGTGTGGTGCAGAGCAAAAAAATATATGGTTTTTCTCATCCTTTTCCATTGTTTTCATACTAGAATGTCCTTTGAAAAATGTCCTTAGTTTTTCTTTCGGTGCAGCTGTCCAGAGTTGCCACCAAACCGCGGCGCGACGCGTCGACATCCGTTAGGGTTAAGTTGCAAGGCGGAGCTGCCGCTCTGCCCGCTAATTGTGTCACAATGATGAGAATAATTTCCAGGACTTTCGCACGCTTTCGCCAGGACAAAGGCAGCCGCGTGCAAGAGGCGTGCAGGAAATTAAGCATACGCCATGTGTGCGCAGTGCCACTAATTTTCCGTTAGTAATTCCATTTCATGCCGCCGCCGCCACTCTGAGATGGCGCCATCTAGCGCTGATTGTTCGAAACGAGATTGCCACTCAACCTCCTCCAACTGAAAGCCACTTTTGTGTAGCTCCTCGTCCTTAATTATCATCAACGTCAGCTTGTTTTTGGTGTTTTTTCGGCCGTACATCTAGGAAGTGTGCAGTCCTGGGATTATTTTCCTTTTGTTACCAAGGAAGCGGTTCTTTCTAGCCAATTTAAATGTCTGAGGAGCCGCGGCCACCCCTTTCGCAAGCAAATATGCTGTCATATGTTTTCCACCCACCCCTCGGGAAAAACTCATGACATGATGAATGATGCGCCGCCAATTGTTTTTTGTTTTTGTTTTTGTTTGCGAATTACAAACAATGTCTAAATGTGGAAGTGGAAGTCTTGGCAGAGCCAGGAAAGTAAACATTTTGACATGACAGGCCAAGCATATCAAGAGATATGTGGCACTCGAAGAAAATATTCAAAAGGATCAAATAAAATATAACTTTGTAGAAGGAGACTTTCTCTCAGTGCCTCTTATAATATTCCCTATAAACGCTAAGCGATTTTCCAAGCTTTTCCTGCCTTCTGTGGAGCGTGTGCAGCGGCAGTATCCTGCTCCCATCCCAGGACCTCAGGCAGTTAAGTAATTTGTATGTAATTTGTTAAGTAATACACACGCTTTTGTGATGTGTGTGTTTGCCCGGCTGTCTCGCCAGGATGTGGAAAAGTTCGAACGAGGAAGGATTTGTTCGCCTTAATTAGAAAACATCAAAGTGGTCGATGTCTGTTGCCGAAGTCCTGAGTCCTGGTCCTGAATCCTGAGCCTTTTCTGAGAGGGATTTGCTCGCAATTGATGTGGCAAGCTGCCTGGCTTCAAGTGTTGAATATTGCACATTGCCGACATGTCCTCACCTCACTCACTGATATAGTTTGCACTCGCTGCCAAGTCCTTGGAGTGGGTAATTAATTCAACAAAAGAAAAGGGAAAGGACCAGGACTCTCAGTGTCAGCAATTAATAATTTGCCACGTTTTAGTCTGAAACTGAAAATTGTTGGTACGTGTCTCGGTGGCCTTTCCCTAATTGGAAATTGATTTTCCCTTTTCGCACCCAAATCGATTGTTTTTCCACGAGGTTTGAGTAATTAAAAACACAAACCAAATACAGTTTTTACTTGCCAATAAAGTGCTGGAAAAACCATTGAAAAGCTGGAAAAAATATCTTTGTTAATCCACACTCACAAATCAATTCTAGAGTAGTAGTAGTAGTGCTTCGCAACCACATTTTCTTTTCTGGGAGTTCTCGGAAGCAATAAATAAAACTGTAATTGGAACTGATGAGCCGAGTCCCAGGCACGCTCAAGCTCACGCCCGAGAACTAGAACAAGTCCCAGAGGAGAAACCGAAATCTCTAATCAAATGTCAATTCTTTATTCAATAAAAATCGGAAACACATATAGGAGGAAAATTTCTGGAAGAGAAAACAGTGTGAAGTAAATACACAGAGCCGGGGAATAGCAGAGCGGAGTACACTAAATCTTTTAACGACTTTTATGTGTTCGCTTACGATTCGAATTCCACACTCCACTCTATTCCAATCCCTGTTTTGTTGGATTTTATTGTCCTGCGTCCTGAGTCCTGCGTTGTGAGTCCTGCGTCCTGACCACGTCCAATGCGCTTGTGTATAAGCCATTAAATGTGCTTTCCTTTCGCTGGCTTGGCTTTTCCTGTTTTCGGCCAATTATTACGCGCGATTTATGCTTTTATTTGTCAACAAAGTTCAGAGGGCAGAGTTCGAGGGCGAAGAGCATCGTAACCCACACACTTAATTGATTGTAAATCATAAGACTGGGGCCATATTTTGATAAACTTTGTCCCTGACTGGATTTTGTGGGTTAACTGGATATCGTTGGTTAAGAATTATGCACTATTTTAAGATTATTATGCCACCCTGAACCTCTAACAGCTTTTCACCCCCCACTGCACTTTATTCATTTTTTACCACCTAGCTTACGTTAGTTTTTAACTAGTTTTCTGCTTTTTTGAATGAATCTCTTTTTAATTTACAACTCTCCCCCCTTTTCTTTCTATTTTGTTTATTTTTAGCACAAGAATCTGCGAAAAATGATAATAACAAACCACAAGGTAAAAGCTTTTTATTATTCTACCCCCACCCACCCGAAAATCCTTACTTTGTTACTTTGAATCTTCTTATTTGCACACAGCATGTCCTTGTTCGTAGCACCCTCCCTTTGCCGGAAATAGTCTCGACTCTTAGTAGTTTTCTTCGGACAGAAGTTTAAATTGCCATATTTTATGCGGCGGAGCTTTCAGAATGTCATTAAAATGGATGTCAGGCAGTCAGCACGAGGCTGAAGCTGGTGTGTTGCTCTGCCCGCTGAATCGTATCCTTTTGTCAATAAAAGGCAAAGGACGATTGCAGGCGACAGCCAAAAGTAATGACAAAACGCAGCGGGCGGCCTCATTGTCATATTGAGACATTTGCCGGGGCAGGATTCAAGGATCCCAGCATCCGAGGATGCAAGTCTGAGCCCCAAAAAGGTTGTCATCGCCGTAATTGAATTCGGGCCGACTATAAATCCTGAATGCTAAACAAGGCTAATAACGTTTCTGGCCCCGAAGAGTAATCTCTTCAAGATTTCCCTTCAACTTTAATAGCCACTTTTGGACATTCTAGCAAAAAATTCGATGCTCAGAGATGGGGAAAAATTAGATTCCGACATGGTTTATGGTTTTCCAAGGAATGGGGAAATCGAAAGCAAACATTTAAGGATGCAACACTGCATGTCCTCCCCGAAATTCAAGTCCTGCCTGTCTGCCGCTTTTTGCTACTCGATGTCTGTATTGTAATTGAATTCTACAACAACACAATAAATTTTAGGCACTAAACGGAAAAAGCTGGGGCTTTCTGGGAGATGGTCCAAGGAGGTTATCGGGGAGATGCCAGGACGTGCAGACAGTTTAGGAAGTCATGGGAGGGTGGGGTGGTCCTCCTCCACTGCAGTAAAAGGAGAAAATTTAATTTCTTGCTTGAATAATAAATCAGAAACATAAACAGCGAATGGGGGCGAAAAAGGGGCTAAAATGTCGCCAGATAAAATCCCATGAATATATCCTTTTTTTTGGCTGTTTGCTTGTTGGAGGACCTCTTTTTGGGGCAACTTTGGGAGGCAGGAATGGTCGATAGGGCGCGGGTTTTTGGTTGCTATTGCACTTATCAAAATGCCATTTCCTGGCCAAGAAGTCCCCGGCCCAAATAAATTCGGGAATAAACGGAAACCGGAGTAGGACCCGGCCGGAAGTGGGCGAAAAGCGGAACGGAAGTGTCGAGTTCGAGTGTCGCTTTATTAAATTTTTACGCAAATGCTCGACACGCGCATATGAATAACAATACACATTATACACCCACATGGGTGTGCAAACAAAAAACAACGGAAGAGGGAGGATGTCGGCAATAATACATGGCACTACCCCCTCATCCATATGCAAATGAAAAGTAAAAACTTTTATGTGCACATTTTTTACGATTTTTCATGCCCCACTACAGCGGGGCGTGGCCGCTGACCCACTCAGCATTATGCAACAAGCCGCTGTGATTTCCTCGCCAGCTTGCCGTCCTTTTTATGACATCTATGGGTAGCCCCGGGACCAGGCCCGGGAGACATAAATATTGTTGCAAAGCCAAAAACAAATAGTAAACAGAAATTACAATAATATGCAATAATGCAAAAGGACAACAGCGGAAGGGGCCAGACGGCGAGCACACACGGTACACTGGGGGAAACGCTCCAGAGGGTCCTTGCAACGAAAATAAATAAAGGATCATTTAAACAAACTAGATGTGTGGAATTAATTCTTTTAGGAGGAAAAGTAAAATGTATTTTAATGCCCAAAAGCTCTTGAAGGGAGGCAGAAAGGACGAAGGAAAAGAACTCTCCCACGGCACACTCACTTTGTATCTGTCCCATGTGTGCGTGGCTTTAAGTCAGCGGGAGAACGTGACATCCTTGCATAGCATTTGCATAACTATATCAACAAGAGGCCGAAGGACGAGGACGAGGAGCAGCAGGATGTGCCAGACATCAGCGGCAGCCACCGCGGACAGCTCTTGCTATTTTTATAAAATTTTTTATTCGCGGACGCTCTCCTTGATGCGCTTGCATAATTTTCATTGTTTTCATTTTACAAGCGAGTTTTACTCATCTTATCTTCCTTTATTTTAGTTCCTACGCTTTTCTGGCTTTTTCGGAGACAGCTTCCTGTACTGATTTCTGTTTGCATTTCAAGTTTTTCGCGTCACAGATTTTTCGCATTTGTTCCTGAATTTTTTTTATGCCCGGGGAAGTGCAATAAAACTTTATACGAGGGCGTTGAAGGGGAAGCGTAACATCAGCCTTTGGGAGGTGATAAAAAAAAGAAAGAGTTTCGGGTGGAGAGAATGGAATACTAAATAAGTTTATGGGGTGTACGGACAGGTAACTAAGGAAGCTTCAGCTCAGTGGGAAGATAAAGCCAAAGTGGGTCTGGGAGTGGCTCCCCTTAGCCGCAAAAACTGCAACGCTTTTCCGCCCTAATTCGCATCCTTGGCAAAATCAATATTCCCCCTTAAAAAGTATAATCGTAGTAATAATAATAACTATTTTGATGACCCGAAAAATAGTCATGCCAAGAATATCAGAACTTTCGCATTGCCACTCTCATAACCAATTATCGTTGCCAAGAAGGCCATAGCTGGCTGATGCTTGCTGGCAGATATTCCGGCATCGGCAATTCAATTTTAGGACTTTCAAATGCAGACTAGTACCAAGACTAGCACCCTGCCCTGCCCTCTCGTTTCCCAATTTTACAGGCACTTTTCCAATGTTCAGTCAATTTTGCAAATCAAATGCCCGCCGTTCGTCTCGTTTGTTGTTCTTTCTTCGCTGATTTGTCAGGACGAAAAGGAGACGTTGGCAAGGACGAGGACGATGGCGACGGCGACGAAACCAAATGCCATTCCACTTGAACGGCTAGACAAAGGACAGGGGCTGGGGGACTTCTTCAGAAAGGAGAACGTTTTGAAATATATATGCTTTTTTATTGAAGTTTTTCTTTTATTTGGCTCATTTATGGCGCATATTGCCCATTTAATCGCTGTCAGCATACAGAGGATGCTAAGGATACACAGTAAAAAATACATCAAGATAAAAGGACTTTAAAGTGGATTATAATAGATTGACTCTCTCTGAAGGACACTTTGTTAAGAGTCAAGTATACCCCTTTAGAAGAAGTATAGAAAGTATATAACTATAGAATTTCTTCAACTGTCCCGAGTCTGGATCATCTTTCAACGACTGCTCGTCAGTTTTTCCAGAGACCCTCCTCCGCCTCCTGGAAAATCCACCCCCCACGCAGTCTATCGCTCTCCATGGACCGCTCAAAGTTTTCTTTTCTACAATCAGCTGCTGTTGAATTTTTAATTTTTATGTTAGTAATTTTTCAGCATTCCGCAGGAGGAAATAAAGGAAACTCTTGCCGGAAGAACATCTTGCGAGCGCATATTAAATTTTTTATGGAGCGGCGGGAGGCGCGAGAAAGGCCATGGAGAAAATAAGTGAAAATAAAGTTGAGACTGGCAGGCGGGCCTCGAACGGGAAACATGTTGCGAATTCCTAAGTGAAAAATATTCATGTGCTATCGGGGCATTTTATTTTAGTGTTAGTAGTGTCTTCTGGGCCGTCGCGTATCTTACGGAGCCTTTTTTTTAAAGTTTAGTTTTTCTTCGCAATCTGCAATCTCTTTAACCCAAAGCAATTTACGAGCACAGTCACGGGAGAGCAAGCTGCAACTTTATTATATAAATATTGCAAACGAAAGCAGATGCTACTGCACCTGTGCTCCTTCCTGGGCTCCCCAGATCACCCTCCATCCACCCCTCCATTTGAAAAAGTCAGTCACGGTTAGCTGGCAAACTGTAGGGAAAAGCAAACATAATTTAAAATGTAATTAGTGCTCAAATAGAAAACCCAACAAATACTGAACCCAGCTGCACACTTGCTATCGGTATGGGCGAGGGTGTGGCTGGTGGGCGTGGCTGGGGCATGACCCCGCCCCACAAAAAGGCAAATAGCAGACAGCAGCCTCCCGCAGAGTCAATGAATGAAGAAATATCATCAGCGGGTTACTAGGTGACCCAGTCCCAGCTTCAATTTCGCACTCTGGACGGGCCAACACACCTGTTCCCCTGCCACGCCCCCGGGTTCTTTATTTTCGTTTCTGTTTGTTGCCGCCCACCTCCCATTAAAGTTTGTCCTAGACCAACTTTCGCCAGCTGCAGGCTGCGGTTGCTTCTGAAACATTTTATTATAACGAGCGTGCGGAGGTAAACATGGTGCATGGCTGGCTCCTCCATGCCTCCAGGACTTTCCATTCATTCTGGGCATTTCAAGGTTGGTCCAAACTCAATTTATTTTTCGGCCAAAGATCCTTCATTATATTGATGATGTGCATAATGAGTTGGCTGGGAGGACTCTTGGTCTGTGCACCTTTTGTGCTCATTATGCACGGCGGTTGGAGGATGATTTTGGAATGAGAAGTGACTGAAGTCGGCAGTCCATCCAGCAATTATTTTAATACGCTGGCAGAAACTGTTAGGATTCTTTAACATAAAAATATAAAATTATAAACATTTTTTTGATTTACAAGGAAGTTTAACTCGCAGGCATAATTATTAAAATTAAGGTGTTTAAATATTTTTATTTTTTTGAGTGCCACAACAAAGCACCTAGGTCCTTTGACTCTGTGCCCTTATCCACTTGTCTGGCTCACTTGCCAGTCGTTGCTGGGAGCCACTAATTTGGTTTTTAAGTGGGTCTACTACCTCGGCTGCTCATTAAGCAGCCTTTGCCTTTGCCATCGCCTCTGCCCTTTGCCCTTAGCCCTTTTACATTCTCCCACTTTGTTTTGGCCTCCTACTCAAGTATGCCGTTTCCGCTTTCTTGTATATTTTTTTCTTGGACACCCGGAATACTCACAGACTGGCGCAGCACGGACAGCACCGACCACCATGATCGGGTCCAGAGACAACTGTCCGTGTCCTCCGACAGCAAGCTGCTGGACGACGACATCCGGGAGGAGATGAAGTACCACTCGCACGTGGTCATGCGTCCCAAGAAGCCGCCCAGACCCAAGTCGGAGGTGTTCCTCAACAAGCAGGATCCGCATCCGCGACGCAAGCGATTCAGTGCATTTGGGGTAAGTACTTGATGAATTATCCTTGACTACCAGGACATGGCTATGCTGCTTCTATTACATATTTGGGAATAATTTAAATGTCCTGGAAATCAAAAATCCATCTAGGATGCCTATAAGAACTCAAAATGATAAGAATTGCATACATTTTTGGGCAGCACTTTCACTGCACTTACAATTCGCAACTAGTTCTGGCTCTCTCCACATGGAGTGGCAGTTGGCAAGACACCAACAAGTATTGAAAATTTAAATCTCTTTGAAATTTGTCTTGGTGGGACCCTTTGCTTAGGCACTGAGAGTTCCCGATTATAAATAAATCTTATTAAAACTATTACTTTAATATCCTTTCATGCTCATATTAGCTAATTAATTTTGTTAATTGCTTATTGTTGTTGCATACTTTTGGGGCTCGAAATAATTAAATTAGCAAGAGCATGGAGCAAAGCCCTTCTCAAAAGAGTGGTTTTCACACATTATGTAATTAATTATACACATTTTGCCCTGAAACGTATGCTTTCGGGTAATTGAAAAACAAACTGAATATAAACTGGGTATTCGTTCCCGCTGATTACATCATCATCTCTGCCCTAACGTAACGCAAAGCCAGCAGAAGCAGCAGCAGCCACTCCAACAGAACTAACTTTGCTTAATTAATTAACAGACATGATACGCTTTTCACTCAACTCCATTTGTTTGTTCTATTTTTTTTTCTGGGCCTTTTCCGGATTCCCAACAGGGCGACTCCCCATTCGGCAAGCAGGAGGCCTACGTCAAACTCGAACCGCTGGGCGAAGGGTCCTATGCGACGGTCTACAAAGGATTTAGCAAGTGAGTACCATAACCATAACCAGTTCCAGCACCACACCCATCCAGCATGCAACATAAATGTCCTTAGAACGGGGTTGCCATGTCAGTGGGTTAAACAAAAAATTGTCCTTTCTGGCCCGACTCGGTTAGAGTTTGGTCTGTGATGGACCTGGAGACCCCGATCAAAATGGATTTCGTTTTCAAGCCCGAGAAAAAATGTGTGTCGTCATTTTGCCTTGATTTATTCGTTAGTTTTTCCCCTGCATCCGTCTTTTTTTGGGGTTCTCCCTTTTGTCCCCGTTGGCAGGACTCATTACAGCCCAGAGCTGGATCCAGAGCCAGAACCAGGACCATGCAAATGTGGCTATCAATCACGGGACAAAGGGTTTGGGTTTGCGCTTGGAGTCAGTCTCTATGTGGGTCACACAATGTGCTGCAGGAACCACCACTGCGCTGGCTTCCTTTTTTTGCTGGCGGTGGAATGTCCTTTTCCAGGCTCCCTTTATTCCTTTGTCCCCAATTGTTATGTTGGCCCAAAACTCTGCAGTGTAAGGAAACTTTATGGCAAACCAAGGAGTTGTATTTTAAACTCTCTAGTTGACAAAAAAGTTGGAAGTAGAGGCAATCTTAGCCTACTCCTTAACCTTGTACCTTACAGGGTTTTTAGATAAATATTCTCAATTTTTCTGCTTCAAAGTACAGTGGAGTATAGAAATATAACCCTAACAGGACCTATATCGGTTCGGTGAAGTATAAAAGTCTTCCAAGAATACAATCCTAGATTAGATGAATTCTCTCAATTTTTCTGCTTCAAAGTACAGTGGATTATAGAAATATAACCCTAACGAGACCTATATCGGTTTGGTGAAGTATGAAAGTCTTCCAAGAATACAATGCTCTAACTTTTTGCAAAAAACTTGTGTACCAACTGAGTTACCTTTCTGGTTCGTGCCCCTCCTCTACTTTTCCCCCAAAAACCAGAACAAAATGCTACCTCATTTGCGCCTCGTCTGGCACTGATTTCACTTGTTTAAGAAGCCAGAGTTTGAAACTGGAGTTGGAGCTGTGCCTTGGTAATTTGACAAATGAGTCTGAGGCGGAGTTCGTCACCTTTTCGACGACGGGCCTCAAAGCATCCGTGTCCTTCGCCTTCGATGATGGATACCACCCTAAGCCCCAACTCCCTGGCCTGTCAAAAGCACTTGCCCCTCGTTTTTCCCAGAAGTCCCCGCCCTCCTTTGAGCTGACTTCACTCACTTCATCTTTTGCCGGCAATCTCCCCTTTGTTTTTGATTTATTTGACAATCATTTGCTTTTGGTGTTGGCCCGACCTGACGAAGAAGTTTCGGCTCCTCCAACAATGGGTATTACGTGAAAAACGCACAAAGTTGTTTGGCTTTTCCCCCTCGGCCCAGCCTCCTTGGGTATTGTTCGGCATCTCCTAGTTTTCCCGCTTTTCCAGGAGCTTTTCATTTCTCATTTGCTATGCACGACAGCGCTTACATGCGAAATGAGTTCCAATTAGCCTTTGTTTATATGAAATGCAATTAATTCGCTCTAATTTATCTGCCAAATGGAAATGCGACCCTCTCTGTCCTCCTGGCCCTCTGGCCTCGTTTTGGTTTCACTTTTCCTTCCATGGCTTTTGTCGAGAGTCCTTTTGCGACTCCTTACGCTCTGCCTTTTCAAACGGATATTTAGGTCACTTTCCTTTCAGTGGCTCCCGAGGCCCAACTGCCTAATTTTTCTCCAAGATTTATGCTTTCTCACTGGTGATTCTGTGATTTGGTTCTTTGTTTTTCCTTTTTTTTTGGGAGGCAGGACCTCCTCTGTTTGTCAATTGTAAAAGATTTCATGAATGATTTCACTTCTATTTGACTTTCGTTTTCCCTGGCCCGGCCTTGTCCTGGCTGTCTTTGTTTTCCTCCTCCGACTATTTTCTACCTATGCAAACAGACACAGAAAGTGGAAAAGTGAAAGAGGAAAGGAAAATGAAGCCAAGAGTCCTTGGAGCAGAAGTCAAGCTGCTGATTAGCATTTAGTAGGTCAGCTGTCGCCATCCGCCGGGGGGGGGAAAGGCAAGCTCTTCGAGCAAAGTTCGATTGCAAAAACTTTTCCCCCCAAAACTTTGATGGCACACGCAATTTTCGGTTTATGCTTAACTAAATCGTATTATTTTAACATTAACAAGACAAAGTTTCGCCTCATCCGACAAATCCCCAAAACACTCTCGAACTCGGTCGGTCTTGAAAGTAACGAGCATCTAGGAATTTTACAGCCAGCTCTCATACATTTTTCATGGGAAAATCTCCATTGCTACGCCCAGGAGCTACAGGATGCGGCAAGGACATAAGCTTTTTACGGCATTTTTCTCATACTTGCGGCTCTAGATGGCGGTTTATTAACCGGGTGTGTGTTTTAGAATACGTTCTGATAGGGCATAAAAGGTTTAATTCGCCGCCACTCGATGATATTGTTCGGGAATAGCCAAACTCCCGGAATTTTTATGGTTGCGATAAAAAGTTTAGGGCATTTCGAGTATGCTTACCAGGAATCTACGGGCTCTGCAACAAATTGAAACGCTTGAAACGCTGTTCCCCGTCATCATCATTAAACCCCTCTTGGCCAATTAGCCGGCGTGGCAGCTCCCCGAAATCTACTGCACTTTGACACATTCGAGTGACATCTCTGGCTGCGCTGCTTGAGCCCTAAATTCACTCTCTGTTGGCTCTTAAAGCCAACTACTTTATGGTAACATTTGCTTCGTTTCTTGCTTCTTTTTTTGGCTTTCTGTTAGACGTTTGCCCTGCCAATTAGAATGCTGGATCCTTGGCAGGAGCAGAGCCAGTAGCAGTGCCGCATAAATTGCCAGCGTCTGTGTGGTAGTGTCAAATAATTTAACCTAATTTGACACTTCAAATGTCCTCCTCGCCAGCCCAGTGCTGGCTTACTTTTCATTAGAGAGCATTGTATTTTTTTTTTGCGGAATTAGAATAAATAGGAAGAACAATGGCAAAGTATGTTCCACTGAAAGAGTCTACATTGTACTCCCTACTTCTTTTCCAAGCATCCTAGCCAAAGTGCCATCACTGACATTCCTCTCAGCCATTCTGTGTCCTGTGGCCTGTCCCTTATCCTAATTTAAGTGTTTGCCGTCCATTTCCCTGCGTGTTGGGTCGTTATGTCTGTTTAATATACAAAGGCACCCAGACCAGACCCACTATTCTCTCGAAAGCCCCCGAATTTCGGGACTTTCGACAAGGACATTGTTGCGGGTGTGGACCAGGAGGCTCCACCGCCGCAAATTGTGGGCCTAATTCTTTGTTGCTTCGCCGGCAGCTGTGCAATTGTTGTTCTTGTCGGACATTCCAGTCGGGGGGAGACAACCCCCCTGCCTTTGAGTATTTATTTTATTAATTTCTCGCCTTCCACGCAGATTAACCTACCAGCGGGTGGCGCTCAAGGAGATCCGGCTGCAGGAGGAGGAGGGGGCTCCCTTCACCGCCATTCGCGAGGCCTCGCTGCTGAAAGAACTGAAACACAGCAACATCGTCACGCTCCACGACATTGTACACACGCGCGAGACGCTGACCTTTGTCTTTGAATATGTGGTGAGTACTTGAAGCTTATCCAAAAAAAACCATCTATTAATGGCCTTTCCCTTTAGAATACGGATCTGTCGCAATACATGGAGAAGCATCCTGGCGGCCTGGACCATCGCAACGTGCGCCTGTTCCTGTTCCAGCTGCTCCGCGGACTTTCCTACTGCCACAAGCGGCGCGTCCTCCACCGCGACGTCAAGCCGCAGAACCTGCTCATCAGCGACTGCGGCGAGCTGAAGCTGGCCGACTTCGGCCTGGCCCGGGCCAAGAGCGTCCCCAGCCACACCTACTCGCACGAGGTGGTCACGTTATGGTACCGTCCTCCAGGTGGGTCTCGAAACTATCCCCCAAAACACTCCCTCTAGAGCTCTAGCTCTAGCCTCCCCTGAGTGCCTTCCTGTGTAAGCTTTCTGGAATCCCCTTCCGAAAAAAAGCAGATAATCACCACTCGTTAAGCGCAAACAATTTGCTGTTTGAAGCTTAGTCGAAGCCGAACCAATTTGAAAATCGCATTAAGTTATTTCGTTTGTTTTTGTGCACTCTCGCCGCCGCCATTAATTGGCAGCCTAGACGCCATGCAGGCTGGAAATTGTTCATTTCGCAGCAACGGGGCTTGAGTCGGATTAAATTAATGCCTGCCTAATCCCTCTCCGGCCCGTCCTCCTCTGACAATGGGTAAACAATCCGTTTTGCATGGCTAGGATTTTTCCATCAATTCCCGGGCTGGAACTAAGTGGAAAAGCTTAAAATGTGAAAACGCCGAGATAGACAGAGGAATAAAGTTAATTTTTTCTAATATGCAATTCCCTGGACATAAACACTTTGTGATGGGTGGAGCGCACACCTGAACTGACCTGCAGTGGCCACAAGCCGGCCCCTGACCCCGGACCTCTGCCGACCCTCGGGCACCATCAACGTCAGCTGGGGATAGTTCGGAAGCATGTTAAACAAATTTAATCTGCACTTCTTGGCAGACGACGACGCCGGCAGGCAAAAAAGCCAGAGGGGCGGGGGCTGGCAGGTGGGCGGATGTGGTTGCCAGGAGCACCTGTCGCCACCTGCTCTAAATGGGAATGTTTTTATGGTGCAAGGATGTATGGAAATGTGTATTTTTCAGGATACCTCTTAGCTACAGAATCAGACTCAAAGTACCCCACAAGTTTCAAATTCAAAAACTAAAAAGTCAAGGTCTAGTTTCTTAAAAATAGTACACTAAATTGTAAGAGTAGAACTTCTAAACTCGTATTTGTTTCAAACATATTTAATAGTTTTTGTGAGTGCTGGGTAAATTATTTTCCGCACATGCACTTCGGGGAAGCCCAACAATAGAACTTTTTGCAGCGCAGAGAGCCAAGTGGGGGTAAAACTTTGTTAGCCTGCTGGTCAGAAAGCGGCAACAAAGATAAACATAAAGGTTGCCCAGGACGACCCAGGAAGTGCAGAGCTATCTCCGACTCGACAGGCCCAGACTCCCAGTCTTCCGCTCTTATTTATTTAAAACTGCAATTTATTTGCCACTAACAACGAAAAAGAAAAAAGAAAGGGGAGAAGTGCATCATTTACTTAGCCAAGTTCGTGTTCGTTCCTTTCCAGATGTCCTGCTGGGCAGCACCGAGTACTCAACCTCGCTGGACATGTGGGGCGTGGGCTGCATCTTCGTGGAGATGGTGACCGGAATGCCGACGTTTCCGGGAATACGTGATACCTACGACCAGCTGGACAAGATATTCAAACTGCTCGGCACACCCACCGAGGACACGTGGCCCGGTGTTACCCACTTTCCCGGCTACAAGCCGCACAAGCTGGGTAAGTAATTGGGCCAATCTGTGAAAGAGTAGCAGCCCTAACTAATTTTCGTTTTATTTTCGGCAGGTTTCTATCGACCGCGGAAACTGGGTCACAACTTCCCACGACTGTACGACATCATCGAGGGCGAGACGATAGCGAACGCCTTCCTGCAACTGAATCCGGAGCAGCGCCTGGGCGCCGATGATGCACTGCAGCATCCGTACTTTGCCCAGTTGCCAAAGAAACTCTACGAATTGCCAGACGGTAAGTGCCGGCATTCTGGAATTTAAATTGAATTAAGCCATTAAAGATTCATTCGGCGGCCAAAAGTCTGCCACTCCTCGATCCCAGACCGGAATCTGGCGCATTGTCTGTGGCCGGGAAAGAAAACCAATTAACAAAAGCTAAAAAAAGATCCGGATGAACTGAAATGTTTGCTTAAAGTTGGTGCCTCTACTACCTTCGTTCATTGTGGGACAACTCATTTAAGTTTCGCGACAATTTGTTTGCTTTCAGAGCAGTTTCTTCGTCTGAGAGCCGGGCGTACTTGTCCCTTTTTCGCCTCTACCGAGGAGGTATAGTGAACAGTAATTGCATTTGCCAGTTTTAATTTGTATTTCAAGTGGCGGCAGAAGTTGGCAACAAGTTGGGCACAAAATAAATACATAGCCTGCTTGAAAGGACAAACTTGTCGGACCAGCAGCCGTAGAATCAAGTTGGACTACTAATTAGATTGCGATAAGTGAACAGCCGAATGTAAATTGTAGCTTCTGTTTCCAGAAACAGGACTCGTGTATTCCGCAAGCCACACTTATCTGCTATCTATAACCAATTAGCTTAGAGCCAATCCATTTCCGAGTAAATAAAATCTAAAGCCATTTCCGCTCGCTCCGAGGGACCTGCATTCATTTAGAGTGTAGTCCGGTCCGGTGAAAGAAGTTTAAAGGGTCGGAGCCCTGACCCCATTGCCCACATCGAGTTTTGGACTCTGCAATTTGGCAAATGCAATGCTGTTTCGGGGCCCGGATAAACCACTCGAGAGTGCAGTGCTGGATAAACCAAAAATAAATGAATGAAGTGCGAATTCCGCTGGGGGAAGTTGCACTTAATCGAGGCCAGCTTAAAGGGTGCTTAAAATGCGATTAACGCGTGATTTGTTTACCCAAACTAAATCCCGGCAATAGAACTGGTTTCTACTCCCATGAGTTGTCCGTCCAGAGAAGGGTGCCACAGATCTGTATGCTAATTTCTGGCCAAATCACAGCTGAGCAAAGCTCATTACGAAGGGTATTTTTTGGTATTTACTCATGCAACATTACGTATACGCAGCGTGGACAGATAGAATCAATTAAAACGCAACTAATGCGCTTCATTTATCATGGCCAGGAAAAGGTCATCACACCCGTGCAAGGTTTCTGTGGTTTGGACACACAAGCCCGCCCAGTGGGTGGGTATTATGTGGGTGGTTTTGGGCTCTGGAAAGCGTGCGAGTGTGTGGCTGGAAAATGTAATTTCGCAAAAGGCAATTTTAATTGTCGGCTGCTTGTCGAAGGCTATAAATTAAATTATGTCATGGTCAGAGCCCTGCCCGTCCCGTCCCGAATGTTGTCATAATTTTTAACTTTTTAATTACAAATATTATTATTTTTAGTAATTGGCATTCTCTCTCTCTCGTTTCCCTTCAAACAGAAACCTCAATATTCACCGTGGAAGGCGTGCAGCTGTATACGGAGCCGAACCGACAGAATAAATGAAAATTAAAGCAAGTCCTCTCCGTGGATGGCGTACGTTTCTACTGTTAGGATATCCCAGTCCTCAACCACACACCCCCCGACATGGCCGCCTCCTGGACTATCGATCAATTGAAGCCTATCAATCACATCATCCAGAAATCCTGCAATCCAGCAATCTTTCAGTCGACAGCCATATATTATTGAAGCAAGAAGACTTCAACTCCAGCCACGTAGTGGGGCAGCACGAAGAAGTTCTGTACTATAATTCTACGATACTTTTCCTAGTAGTTACTAGTTCGATTCGGAGCGAGCTGAATGAGTGACGGACAGCGGCATTTGTTTCAAATAGGCAGCTGTCTTAAAGTTTAGTTTAGGTTCTCGCATTCACGCCATTTAACCATCGTGTCCTCTTCCCATCCGCGGTGCAGCCGCATCGAAAAGGATACTCAGTTTAGTCAAAGCGCATGTTTTCTGTAATTCGTTTTTTTTAAGGCAAACACACACAAAACAAAAATATTTACATTTTTAGCTATATGTAGCTTTTAGTGAATGAAGTGCTTCTGTGGATTACGCAATATATTCGTATGCAATGAGAGTGAGAGCGATATTGTGAGAAGTTGTATCATCACCATGTTTGCGTTATATAATGTGCCCTGCCCGTGTGTATTTCGTTTCCATTATTTTCCTTTAGCTTTAGTTTTACCATCGAGGAGATTTTTAAAGCGTATGTTGTGCTGTGTATTTAAATTTTAGCTGCGAATCAAATCAAAAAGAACCATTAGTGCATGTTGGAATAATGGAGTGCAATTATATCACTTGATTGGCAAACAAATAAAAAACCCAATCGATTTATCAAGCAGGCACTCACAAAAAGTAAACATTTACTTTAAAGCCATTTATTTTACAAATTTGGTAGCACAGCCAACGTTTATACAACACAATTATTTAGCTTTAATTTCCGCTCACGGCTTTAGTCCTGATTGTATCATTTTGTCAATGCTTCCTTTGTCATTATCAAGTGAAAATTCGCTGCGCTGTTAAGTGATAATCTTACACTATTAAATGAATTTATGTAAAAAGAAAGTAAATAACCTAAAAAGAATGATATGTAAAGCAAATAAATTTAAATCACTTATACCATTTAAGTTTCCTCATTTCGTTTTTTTTTAGTTTTTATTGCTTAAGTTTATTTTACAGAGGCTGGATGATGTGGACCTCCTATAGAAACACTTTAGACTTAAATCCAATAGTCTGGAGTGGTGGTGCCTGGGTCGGATATCATTAATCATAACTCTACCTAAACATTTTCGAGCAAACTTAAGCGAATAGATAAACAATTTAACTAGCAAAGAACGCAAATAGTAGAATCAAATTTTTAGCAATCAACCAGAGTAAAATTCGAGATAAAATAGCCGTCAACTAACACTAAAGTAACCTAACCACGTATTTTACACATAGAGTTCGTAGCGAGAGAATCCAAATCCAATCCATTTCCATACTCTAAGAAACGTAACGTTGAAAGCGAGAGGGCGCCCGGATCCACATCCGGGTCTACGAATTACCCAAGAGAAGTTCAAACGAGAGCTAACAAATGTGCAAATTGAAATCAAAGACACTTCACATGGTTTTGAAACACGTAAATGAATCAAAAACGATTTGAGAATTATAGAAAACTAAAGGCGTAGAACAAAATATATTATGAATATCAAATAACTATATTTGAACGATGGAGCCACTTTGAGCTCCAGGCTCAATAGTAAAATCAATTTACTAAGATGCCCCGGTGTTTGGGGACTACCAAAATATCAAGACCCCAAGGTAACTGAAAAAATAATTGATTTTGGGCCCAATGCGCGAACATTTTCGGCACTCAGTGTGCCACGATTAACGCTCGCGTTTTAGTAGCGTTCCAAAAAAAAACTGTATTGATTATATTTTGTAGCAAAAGTAAAAGTAAAATTTAAACTAAAACGAAAACAAAAACAAAAGGAAAATATTTCAAATGAATAAACTTTTTCTGTGATTTATGAAAAAAGTATGCAAAACACTCAAAACACAAACACACCAGCAGCAAAAGATAAACAAACACGAAGAAATAAAAACAAGCGAAAAGCTAATAGAACTAAATGAATATTAGGCACTTTAGAATGAAACAAAGTAGATGCTGGGCCAGCAAAATTGTTAGGATTATTTGCTAGCTGAAAAGGTAAACTACATTAGATCGAAACTAAAAATTGCACCCATTCGAAATTGAAGAAACCAAATGCGAAAACCGAAGAGCCGCGTAAACAAACATTCCGTTCTGCGAATTTTATAGTTTCGGTTTTTCAGCGAGTCTCCCCCCATTAGTTGTAGGCGAAACAAAAGATTAAGATATGAAAACAAAGCTAACATTGTAACGAAGCATGGCAACGCACTTTTGCACTTTTCCCATCCCGAAGGTTACGTCCATAGTTTTTAAGCCAATGAGCCAATGGAACAATCGAATCGAACGAAATTAAGCGAAAAGTTTAACTGGTTTTCGTTTTCATTATAAATGCAATTTTATCAGACGACAAAAGAGATAATTTTCGAGGCATTTTTCTGTTCGCCATTTGGAACACTCTAATTGATTATTTGCACAAACATTCGAGAAGAGCAACCAAACAAAAAATAAATAAATATACAATTAAAGACGAGAGAATCATAAAATTAAAGAGAAAACACTAAGCTAATCCTTAACGTAATCGAAATAATGAATAAACTAAGATGTTTTTAGCGGAACGTGTCTCTAGTTGTATTCCACATAGTTGCTAAGCGGCGGGGTTATCCCTTCCCGAAAAAAAACAATATATAGAAGGATATCGGAGCCCTGAACGGAACGAAAGGTAAAAAATCGTAGCTTGTCGGGGAGAGGAGAGTTTAACGGATGGATATGATAAGAAACTTAAATATTTTTAATGCATTGAATTTGTCGTAAATATTTAATGTACCTTTGTTAAAAACAAAATAAATCTATTAACACAAATTACGAAACTCTCTATGCAGTTAGGCAATAGAGTAGATGGAGCATGCAATTTTTATGTTTACCTCGTAAGCATTTTTGTATAGTTAAACGAAGTCAGAAATTAGAATCCCGAATGAGAGGAGACTTTTGTAAATATTTGTAGTTGATTTCTAAGTAGCGAAAGAAATGAGAACAGAACCCGAATATTCAAAGGATAAACAAAAACCCAAATGAGAAAATGAAAAATATTGAATGTTTATGATTTAATACAAATCAATGACAACTAAATACAATTTGAATAAGTTCAACCTGTACAATAATTTAATATTAAATAAAAATGGCGTAAGCCAATGAAAAGTATACCAGTTTTTTCATTAACATTAAACTTGGTTCCCTCCAGATAGAAATAATACGAAGAATAATAAGGCCCGCCCGTTTGTCGAACTACCTCTTAAATCGATTTTTAATTCATTTAATGAACTAGTGCGATCTATAAAAACTACTTATCGTTATAATATTAGGCCAGTTTAAAGGATTGCAGCTCTGAATCGGATGAGAATTGGCCAAGATAAAGCCATCAGTGTAGGCCATAAAGCCGAAAAATGGACAGTGTGGGCCATCAGTGTGGGCCGAAAAAAGGACAACAAATCTAAAAAACATTTCGTCTCAGGATTTAGATGCAGAATGGTGGAGAATCGATCCAGAAATCGTTTAAGGTACTCCTCTTGTGAATCGGATCAGAATTGGGGAAGATATAGCGATCACTGTGGGCCCTATAGGGAAAAACCCCATTTTCAAGGGATCCCCTCACAAAAAATGGACAAAAAATCGAACAAATATTTTGTCTCTGGATTTTGACGCAGAATGGTGGAGAATCGATCCAGAAATTGTTTAAGGTACTCCGCTTGAGAATCGGATCAGAATTGGGGAAGATATACCCATCCCTGTGGGCCATATAGAGCAAAGACCCATTTTCAAGGGATCCCATCAGGAAAAATGGACAAAAAATCGAAAAAATATTTTGTCTCTGGATTTTGACGCAGAATGGTGGAGAATCGATCCAGAAATCGTTAAAGGTACTCCGCTTGAGAATCGGATCAGAATTGGGGAAGATATACCCATCCCTGTGGGCCATATAGGGGAAACCCCATTTTCAAGGGGTCCCATCACAAAAAATGGACAAAAAATCGAACAAATATTTTGTCTCTGGATTTTGACGCAGAATGGTGGAGAATCGATCCAGAAATCGTTTAAGGTACTCCGCTTGTGAATCGGATCAGAATTGGGGAAGATATAGCGATCACTGTGGGCCCTATAGGGGAAAACCCCATTTTCAAGGGATCCCATCAGGAAAAATGGACAAAAAATCGAAAAAATATTTTGTCTCTGGATTTTGACGCAGAATGGTGGAGAATCGATCCAGAAATCGTTTAAGGTACTCCGCTTGAGAATCGGATCAAAATTGGGGAAGATATACCCATCCCTGTGGGCCATATAGAGCAAAGACCCATTTTCAAGGGATCGCATCAGGAAAAATGGACAAAAAATCGAAAAAATATTTTGTCTCTGGATTTTGACGCAGAATGGTGGATAATCGATCCAGAAATCATTTAAGGTACTCCGCTTGAGAATCGGATCAGAATTGGGGAAGATATAGCGATCACTGTGGGCCCTATAGGGGAAAACCCCATTTTCAAGGGGTCCCATCATGAAAAATGGACAAGAAATCTAAAAAATATTTTGTCTCTGGATTTTGACGCAGAATGGTGCAGAATCGATCCAGAAATCGTTTAACGTAATCCGCTTGAGAATTGAATGAGAATTGAGGAAGATATGACCATACCTGTGGGCCCTATAGGGAAAAACCCCATTTTCAAGGGGTCCCATCATGAAAAATGGACAAAAAGTCGAAAAAATATTTTGTCTCAGGATTTTGATGCAGAATGGTGGAGAATCGATCTAGAGATCGTTTAAGGTACTCCGCTAGAGAATCGGATGAGAATTGGGGAAGATATAGCCATCACTGTGGGCCATATAGGGGAAAACTCCCATTTAAAAAAATTGTATTCATTTTTCGACATTTTTAAGGCCTGAATTAGCGTTCTCTTCTATTCATTGAATTAATGGCACGCTCTCAAATAAACTCGTTCGCGATTTGGGGCAATTGAAATAATTTGAGGGGATGACAAGTCTATTGGAGTGGGTAGCGATCCCAAGCATATCATCAAGCGAAGCCAAAAGTATTAATTATGTAAATGACACAACTCTTTTTATATTTTTTGGAGCAACAACAATAAGAAGCATGATGTTAAGAAAATTTTTTCCCAATCGGCAATGTTGGGGTTGCGTCATCGGCAAAGGCAATTCATCTTAGAGGGAGATGAGCTTTGGGCCTGACTCTGGGTATCTGCAAGCGGGCATCTCAGCACGATTCATCGACAGCTGGCCAATTCAAAAGGTCCGAGACCACGGATGCACAGCTGAAAACCTTCGGAATCCCACAACCATTGTAATTCCGCAAAAAGGCATTACAAGTGACATAATGCGGAACATGAAGGTAAGCGCAAATGGAAATTGCACTTGCAAGCCAGGCACAGCCATATTTATTCTGCTCGTGAGGTACACATTAATTTTTGCCCGATGACGGCTAAGGCCAAAATCCATATAAATAAAAGTATAGAGCTGTTGGCCACTATAAATAGACTGTCATCGAAGGGGGAAAATCACAGAGCAGCGACAACTTGGGCGAATGCATTCGATTACTCATGTAGTTAGTCAGGTGAACCCATTCTTATCAGACAGAAAGACTGTAAATATTATATACATATGGTATATATGTGTATGGGAATGAATAACACATTGAGGCAGGTTTCTGCCAAGTGTCAATGATTCTGGTTAATTAGCATGCCAACTACGTAGCAAACTTTGAATATTGATCTTCAGAAGCTTGAAATAATACTGCTATAGACCTAGGTCGCTAGTAAAAAGTAAAACCACATTAATGTTTGTATCACCACTAAAGCTGACTAATACTTTATTATTATTTAATAAAGTAATATTTCATAAATGTTTATTGCCAGTAATGGGGTTTTATTTCACCCCAAGCAATTTACATAAATACGATAAAAGCTTGAAATGATGCAACATGCTAAAGTAGGTCTATCATTTTATGTTTTTGTTCAAGAATATAAATAATTAGCATTAAAATAATACCGCGACTAAAGAATGGACTAATCTCAACACGGTAGTTCATCGGTTAATCACGTATCCACCTTTATTTCGCAAAGTCAATTAATAATTCTCAGCTGTCGTTCTACGAGCCATGGCAAATCTATTTGGCATGCCCAGCGTGTTGAGTGTTCAGCCAAATGATTGACAACCCAAAGAAGCCAACAAGCCCGGGGGATTTTTCGCATCTTCAAGACAGACATGTAAACAATGCGAGACGATCCCTCTAAACTTAAAAAAATGAAATAATCTCCGAACATTGGAGCATCTCTCAAAAAGCTTAAAAGCTTCTCTCTGATCGCTGAGATCCCCATCGAAACACAAGTGTTCGCTCAATTCAATTGCGAATCTTGACCGGAACGGACGTATCTTTTCGTTCGCTACTTAGTATCGGGTCTTCGACTAATCTGGCGGGCACCCAAGGCTATATTTCAAATTTGTGAATGATTTCGGGTGATTTGTTTGAAACGAATAACGCGTAAACACAGTGTCACGATGAGGCTCCACTTTGTGGTCTTTTTGGCGGCCGCGATTTGTGGTTTTTGTGGGGGTTCTTTGGTGGAACCACCGGGCGTTACCCAGGCCCCTCCACCACCTCCCCCTCTTCCGGCTAACCAAGTGCGACAGCGCATGCGCAACAACTTCCGAGTACGTTACAGTAAGAACTCAGAAACACCGAGGACGATCGTCAGAGTGAACTAATTAAAGTAATTGGATAACAAAACTGACTAGTTGCCTGATTAATAATGAATTATTTCCGCAATAATAATTCAAATACTTAATTATGTGATTTAAAAAAGAATTTTTCGTTGAAGAATCATGTGCAATGCAGGCACATATATGTAAATGAAAAGTAAAAGGGGGCTATTAAGCAGCATCTTGAAAACCGAAACAAAAAGCTATTGCACTAAAGTTATAATTAAAAATTATATATTCAAAATCTCTGAAAAATAACAAAAGAGTTAATTCACTCTTTCGAAATGTGTCTATTGTTAAAAATGCAAAAGTGTTCGCTGGGTTTGCTCTGCCGATCGTCTACTGTAATTTATTAAAGCTGGGTGACGCGCCAGCTGGGTTTTGGCCAGCAGGTTTCGTTTTGGGCCAGAACAAGTTCAATGCGCTGGCCTCGTGTTTGCCTTTTAATCGTTCGTCTTCATTATTACCTTTAGACCCCCGCAAGCTCCACAATTGCGGCTGCCCCTCTGAGATGCGATTACAAGGAGCTGATGACCAATCTGCATGACCGTGTTGGCATCTTGGTGACCTTGGACGAGGACCAGAGGAATCGCCTGGAAGTCATCGATAAGAAGTAAGAGTCCCCTTTTGCTTGGCTCACCCATAGGGAACCAGTTTCATCGCATAGGTACATCAGACATATTTTTACCCACAAAACCGGTAAAATAATACAATCAGCGACACAACGTCTATTGGAAACTTTTCGGATGCCTTCTGACTTTTTTGTGACAGTGCCAATTATTTGGCAAACCACAGGCAGTTTTTCATGACGCTTTAACTGAACATCAATTAGCCATGAATGAAGCAATCGCTGGCCAAACATTTCTGTGTTTTTTTGGCCAGGTTTATTTTCGAAAATTCGCAGAAATTTCTTTTGGTTTTAGCACACTCACCGGGGGAGTGTTTATACATAATTCGGCGATTTGCGCTGTTCAGCAGGTTATTTGTTTAAAACACTTGGGTCTTTGTTGTGCTTTATTTACGATCTTTCTTGGGAAAGAGAACAGCAAATGCCAAGTGGCTACTAAACATGAAGCTAAACCATAAAATATTAGAAATAATGTATGCAATAGGATACACACATAGAAGAGGTTTATCAGCGTCTCTCTAGGAGGTCACTAAAATGGGTCTACCCGATAGCGCTGTTTAATATTATATTTATTCTATTTATGTATTTCAGATTGGATCAACTGGTGGAAAGCAGTTCAGCTCGTTTGGAATCAATGAAAGCTCAGCAAATGGACTTCCAGCAAAGACTGGACAGCTTCGAGCACATTCAGCGCCTCTCCAGGAACACTCTGGATGAACTTAAAGGTGAAACCGATAAGGTTCAGGGCTCTCGAGATGTTAGGGAGTCGAAATACAAGCGTAGAAATCGCAGTAAAATGAATGGTAACCCAGGATCTTCTATTGTGGATGTTGTGCTAGTTATTTTTGATGTTGTGATAGTTTTGTTGTGCTCAAAGCCCCATTTTAGTTTGATTAAAATGGTCTATGTTTAAATTTTGTAGAACATAGTTTAATAACTTAATTTTACTTTTTAAAACAGATCTCTCCCGCACTGCTCGGGCTGTTCCGCAATATCAGAATGAGGGAAACCAGAATGAATCGAACTTGAGTGTCTCGGATCGCTTGGATGCTTTGGCAACTTTACTGACCTCCACAGCTCTCAGCGTTAGGTCAGTCCATGACGAAGTGGCAAAACTCACTCAGGCTATCAAGTAAATTCAAAAAATATTTCGATTTTATATAAGTCGCTAAATTATAGTATTTTCTAGCCGTCAACGGCGTGTATCGCACAGGAGGCAGGGGCAAGGTCAAGGACCACCGGCACCCTTCTACCCACCCCCTGGCCAGGCCAGTTATCCTCCTCTCCCTCGACCTCCCACCAGCTGTCTGCAATCCTACTTGGCTGTTCAGGGAATCCTTAAGGTCCAACTTACCCCAGAATCAGAGTCCTTCTACGTGGCCTGCGACGACGATTGGACGGTGATCCTGAATCGAGCTACCGATGAGACGAACTTTGAACGCGGTTGGCTGGACTACAAGGATGGTTTTGGAAACTTGGCCGGGGACTTCTTCATTGGCCTAAACAAACTGCACGCTCTGACCTCATCCGCCTTGCACGAACTCAGAATAGTTCTGGAGGACTTCTCGGGCAACGTGGCGTATGCGGGATATTCAACTTTTGCCATTGGCAGCGAGAAGGAGCTGTATCCTTTGAGTTTGCTGGGCAGATTCCTTGATGAGTTGACTCCTTCGGCAGGGGATTCCCTCTCTTACCATGCTGGGGCCAAGTTCAGCACCGTCGATAGCGATAACGACAACTGCCTCGACTGCAGTTGCGCCCAGAAGCACAAGGGCGCTGGATGGTTCAACAATTGTGGCACCAGCAACTTGCTGGGCCAATATTACCAACACAATTTCGCGCAGGCCGGGGAGACTGGAATTTTCTGGGACACCTTCCAGGGCAAGGACTACTCGCTGAAGAGAGTTCGCCTGATGATCCGCCCGATCGCCGAGGAGGAGGCCCGAAAGTAGGGACACCCAGGGTAGCTCCACTGCCAACTGCCATTCGCGAAATCAGGGATCACCCAGAGAATCAAACTAAAATCGCTTTGAATTTTAACCTTTAGCTTTAGCCCCTTCTATGTGCGTGTGTGTGTGTAATATTTATGGAAAATTACTTAATACCTAGATAATAAAGTAATGTAAAGTGTATCTATCCGTCTGGAAGTGCGTCATCTCTGGGAGATTTCCCCTAATCAAACTATTAGGCAGAAGCATGCGACATGCACAGTTCAAGGGGGTATATAAATGGCATCACTTTTGCGTTCCATGACAGTTAAAGGTATTCTGCTTCTGGATAAACTTAAATCGGGTGTCATGGCCAAGGCGAGCATTTGTTTGGTGCCCATTCTCTGCCAGTTTTGGACTTTGCAGGCTGCTCTTTTGGATAACCTTGTGGAGCAGAGCAATATTTACTACCTCTCAAGCACTGCTGAGGTGCCATTGGAAAATATTGATCAATTGGATTCCGTAGAATCAGTAAAGTTCATAGTTCACGGATATTTGGGCTCCAGGACCCATGGGTCCATTATGCCTTTACGGAATGGTGAGTGCCATTTAGCGTCTTCGTGTTCTTAGAAGAGCTTAAGAGTTCTTTAATGGATTACCCAAAATCCTCCTAGCCTATACCTCCCAGGGCTACGCAAATGTTCTGGTAGCCGACTGGGGACCAGCGGCCAACTTGGATTACCCCACCTCCCGATTGGCAGTAAAGAAAGTGGGTCATTTTTTGGCCAAAAAACTTGACGACTTCCTCCAAAAACACGGCATTCAATACGAAGCGGTTCACGTAATAGGTCACAGCCTGGGAGCCCATATAGCGGGTCGAATCGGCAGGTACTTCAATGGAACTTTGGGAAGAGTTACGGGCCTGGATCCAGCGCTTCCCCTGTTCTCCTCACGTGCCGACGACAGCTTGCATGCAAATGCCGGCCTCTTTGTGGATGTGATTCACACCGATTTCCCATTGTTTGGCGACTTGAGACCTCGTGGGACGGTGGACTTCTATCCAAACTTTGGAGAGGCTCCCCAGCCAGGATGTGAGGACGTGGACCTAGTTGCAGCCAGTAAGCTCCTACATGAGGCTTGTAAGCTCATCCCAAAAACTTGTATTTACTCCTAAATTGTCTAAATTTAACCAATAGATAGTTGCAGTCATAATCGGGCTGTCATGTTTTTTGCGGAATCCATTGGAGTGCCACAGAATTTTCCAGCTATACCTTGTAGCCTAAAATCTATAAAAAGTCGTCAAGTTGATGTATGCATCAAGGAAATATCTGGATCGGGAGGTATAGATGAGAACCAGGTGGTTTATATGGGCGAGAACGTCAATCGAAGGTTAGTATTTCAAATATTTTGAATTGATGGGAGCCGGGTACATATTTACTTTACATTTTTAGCGCCACCTTGTATTATTATTTGGCAACTAATGGAGCGCCTCCTTACGGCCAAGGAAGGAACTCAAAGTTTTATTAAAGTGTTTATCTAAAACGAGTTATTGTTTTTTAACACCTAATAAACAAAATTAATTGATGATTCAAATTTAATTAATATATTTTATAATTTCAACATTATTTTCATAAACATTATTGTCAGCTTGACCAACAGATGCCGCTTTAGGGTGCCCTCTATGTGTGAGGTTTTAACTATCGCATACAAACGCGCGTAAATCAAATATTTTCTGAACGAGGAAATAAAAATATAACTTAAATTAATAATTTTTTATAAATATATGTATCGGTGCCATATCAAAGGAAAATAGGTATATCGCTTTTTGAATACTTTCGTAGAGCTTTTCCATTCTTACTTCTTCTCATTTATTATTTTCAGAATTCCTTTTTTATCAGTTAATGAATTTCTACGATTATTTGCTTTTACAATTTCCCAGCCACCAAGTCTTATTAGAACTGCAATCAAAAGTTCTGCAAACATATTGATTCATAAATCAAAGGCATTTTATGAATGGCAAGAACAAACAACTCCCCGCCCCCTGGTGCATTCTGGCTGAATGCCTGGAATCAGAAACGACCGACTCGGGATTATTTATGGGCCAATAACTTTACAACTAAACGCTCATCTACATTTAATGGCGATAATTTTTGACGCAATTTGAGAAACAGACACGCCGGCGGTCGCCGAGAGCCTCTTCTTGGCCATTATTCCGAGCAGGAGCAGAAGTAGAGGAGGCTCTCAGAGTGGCCCAAACAAGTTGGCCTACAAACAGAAACGGAAACCGATACATAAACAGGAGGCAGCAACCGCAGAAGATAACAAGAAACACTTGACACCTCCTCGGTGGTTCCTGGCTGTTGCTGGGGCACCTCACCTTGTTTTTGTTGGCCACCATGCCATCGGGCCAATACAGTGGGAAAAAATGGTCTAAACTAGGTGAACCTTATCTTTAAATTCAGAGTGTTAAGTTTAAAATTACATAATCATCATACAAATTATTTTAAACTACCATAGAAGGAAATTGTCTCCTTTATTTTTTAGTCATAATTCACAAAAATTTTTAAAAGAAAAGTCTTAACTATTTTTTTAAGTTATACAAATGCGTAAAATTCTTGAGGCAGAGAAGAGAGCTATAAAAAGACAACCATCCAGCATTCGGGGGAAACAAACAAAGGCAGTGATCGTAAATTGCCGGTGAAAAGGCCACTAAAGGAGGAGGAATGCTGTAAATTTGGGGATTTGGAGATGGCAACAGCTGCCTGTCGATCGGGTGTCCACCGGGCTCCCTCGTATGTGGGTGGCTCAGGTGGTTTCCCTGATGGACTCTGATGGCTCAGGTGTTCCCGATTCTAGATGGCAATCGCCCTTCGTTCTAACTGATCGCATCAGTTGATACAGATCGGTTTTGGGCTTTTGGCCCAAAAAAATACAAAAATCGTTCCACAAATCGATTTCAGGCTTCATTAGCCGCTGCTGCCCTGCATGTTTGTGGCACAGGAAACTGCCGCACTCTGTGCTCGGATTTTCCTTTGTTTTCCCGCGAACAGTGGAAAGCCAGCAGAAGCAGCAGCACCAGCAAGTTAGTCGCTCTATTGATGCTCGGTCAACCATCGAGTTTCTGTTTTCCGTTTCTGTTTGCTGAATGTTTTGTATTTCCCCCTCGACTGTTTACCCAAAGCCGCGCGCCAAACTATCAAGACTATTGAGTATTTTTTCTAGCTTTTCGCTTTTCTCGTATATATGGTATATGGATATATGCCTTCTCGACATTTTCCATCATTTTCCACTTCCCGTTTTTTCTTTTTTGTTCTGACACCACCACCTTTCCTGAATTTGTGTCACGCGTTTCAGTTCAGGCTGCGTTTTCCTGCCTCGGACCTTAATTTGTGTTTGCTGGGAAAGTAAAACAAAGCGAGAGTTGTTGACTTTTGATTCTGGCAATGGCTCAATGGATGGGTGCTTTCTGGGGTTAAGCGGTACTGTCAAGAGGGTAAAGCCAATACCAATGTTCTGCTCTAATTGAAACACAAAGCTTGAGAGTCTAGACTTCTTTTGGAGCTAGACACTTTGTGTAATTGATAGAAGCCCTAAATATGTTCCAAACTTATATTAAAACCTTGAAGTATTTACTCGAAAAGGTCCTTAAAAAATCGATTTGTTTTCTGACTTCCTTATCCCTTCCCTTGAGTGCTCCTGCCCTGCGCCTAACTTATATAATTCCTCATGTGTTTTGACACATTTCTTAATGGCACCGCGCACACTCACAGGTAAAAATGTAAAATAAATAATATAAAACTGGAGAAGGAGCCACAGGCAGGGCAGAATGAACAAATGCAAACACAAAGCCGAGGAGACAAGAAGAGAAATGATATTGTAATTGGCAATCGTTGTTGGGCATAAATCACATGCATAAGTTTTCGACCTGAGGGCATTCTGTCCGTACAAAGAGTTCTTATCCTTTTCGGCCCGCCACGTCGTTAGTTGAAGTCAAATGTTGTTTTCCAATTGGAAAATTTTTCATTAACTAATTGAACATTTTACGGCAGTCAGCAGGGGGATGCGGTGGATGGGGGGCCTTACAAAGAGGGGGGCCTGGAATGGCGCCAATATTGAATCGCAAACAGAAAGGAAACCTGGGCCTGCGCCCCCAGCCCATCTGCTAACCGATTTCCACCCACCACTTTTCACATTTTCCCGCCCCCGCACGCCACTCGGCTTTTAGTCACCTCACAAAAAACAGGCCATGGCAGCAAGACAATGAACGGACAATGTTAGACAGCCAGGACACGAAAGGACGTTGGCCCAAATGGGCAAACACACCGACAGCCACATCGGGCTGACATCCTGCGAATGTGTTCTTTGTATCTGTGAGAGCCCACAATAATTTACGAGCGCACGCTTCGTTTCAGACTTTGCTTCCGTTTGGTACAAAATGGTTTTTGACTTTTCGGGAGGTTAGGGATAAAGGTTGCTTAAAAAATTATTATAGCCTCACATCTATTCTAAAATGTTCCACTAAATAACTTGAAAAGCTTGTAACTTTACGAATTTGCACCTATCAAGGTTATCAGAAACTTTAGTGGCTTGTTTTCGTTTTTTGATATATTTATTTATGGCTCATATTTATTGAACTATCGAACAAAATTAAATATTGATTATATTTATTGCCCTGACACCTCGAACTTGCGTATTTCAATTTATTGTTTATTGAAAAGGCATAAATTTGAATATTACTTTTATAACATTTACGCAAGAAAACCTTATTCGAAATTTTCCACGAGCCGACTAACGTCACAAGAAGGTATTCCCTGGGTTCATCAATTGCCTGGGTGGAACTTTAACTCTCCTTTTAATATACAAATAATGTTGGAAATTTGCATAACTGTCTGGTCTGGTCTGGTGAGGGTTCTGCGGTGTCTATCTGTGGTATCCTCCCTCCCGAATGTCCTTTCCGCTGGACGAAGCGGATATTAAACATTAGCGCGTGCTGGACACAAAACCCAACACCCAACCCCCTGCCAACAAAAATAATTAAGGTGAAAATTGCTGTCGACACGCAAACTGAACTAAAGGAAAGAAGACCTGGTCCGGTCAGAGAGCTAAAGAGCCAAAGCCGATGCCGGACCGAAGTGGAAATATTTATATATATATTTTTGTTTTTGGCTCTGAGAAATGACCAGCGGCAGCTGATAAACCAGATGATTGGAGATGACTAATGAAACCTATTAGCCCTGTGACAGATGAGGAGTCCGTGAGCAGGCCCAGGGAGCTGTGACCGCGATGATGGATAAGCTCATTAAACTCCGCCGCCTCAAAAAAAAAACCAAATCAAAGAGTAGAGAGCAAAGGTGACGGGGGGCAGGGGATCATTACCACTGATCTTTCGGTAGCGGCTCCTTCTATACATCTAATTGAAACCCAAATCCCTTGGTGGTCAGTTGCCAGTCAACTCTTTTACTTAGCCTTAGAAAAGTAAAACGAAAATGACATTTTCCTTATCGGTGTATTCACTCTACCAGCCGGAGTAGGGAATCAATCAAGTCAGCGGGCTGAGTCCATTTCCCTTCACGGAGTTGATTGGCACTCGGAAATTCCACTTGTGCTTTGGGGCCTTGGGGATGGGCTGGTTCAGAAAGAACTGCCGGCCGTATTCCACGGGTTTCAGGCGCCTCTCGTAGCCCTCGGGTAGATCGTCCACCAGGCAACTAATCTTCAGATATCTTTGAGAATCATCCTCCAAAACATTTTCTATGGAGCACTAAGTAAGGAGTGCTTTTTAGTCCTATGACCATGGAAGTTCTTTCTAAAAACTTACACTCTCCGCCAGATGATAGAAGTCGTCTTGGAGCTCCTTCCACTCTTGTCGAAAAGATGGTTTCTCACAATAGGCTTTACTCATAATAATACGATTCTTAATTTTTAGCATAGTTCTGGTGTATTATACTTACAATCCCCTGATTTTAATTGAGAGTCAATGAAGCGGAGACCAAAGAATGATAACACCACGAAGAGTACCGCTGCGAAGCGCCGTGAATTTTGACCCATCTTTAAAATTTTTATAGTCGGAATGACTGAAGGATGATCTCAATACGAGAATAGGTTGTCAAAGGTAAAAGGACCCTAGACTGCTAGGTACAAAATTTTAAAGGAAATTTGTGAAATCTATGCTAGTAGAATCAAAGACTTCTAGATTAATAGCTAGAAGGCAAATAAGTCTCTAAAGAGGTTCAATTTTCGTTATCAAAAATCCAGGCCATTAAACCATAAACGATATTTAGCAAGAATCGGGAACCGAGTAAATCGGCTTTGTTCTAGCACCTCTAAACTTTTCCAATTCGCCATAAAAATCAACAGAAAATCTTATGGCCCCTTGTCGTAAATGGGAAACAAAAAGATAGCGCCCTTTATGGCCTGGGCACAATCAAAAGTGTTAGGCAAATATTGAACGAAATATATGGCCTTATATGGAAATTTGGAAGGGATCGAATCGGGGTTCACCAAACACATTTCACAATTTGCATGCGTTCGGAGAAAAGTGTCCGGCCCAGAAACTATAGCATTGATAAAATTTTCCAATTCGCCATAAATTCGATAGAAAATCCTATGGAAATTTTCGGCAGTTCGGCTCCCCGACTTGGTTTCTGTGTTTGCTTTCTGTGTCAGTGTCGAATATCATCGAATTCGTCTGGGCCAAGTCTGTGGGTCTGACGTTCGCTGGTGGGTTTCTGGGTTTGGCCGGAGGCGAATTTGTTGGTGCCGATTATGGTTGCTTTACGATTTAATTTCACACGAATTTATACTAGATTTCGGTGCAATTGTTTTCTGCGTCGCCGTCGCATTTATGGTGTATCAGTTGTTTATGGCCAGCACCGTATCCAAGGCAAAGTGGGGCTATACCTACAGATTTCACAACCCAAATCGGGGAGACTTGTTAGCCCAATTAATAATTATGATTGACTATAGTCGCAGATGAGCTCTGGTGTGGGAGGCCTTGGCTTTCTCTGCCAGCCCACAGATGTGCTTAATTAATTGCCGCGTAAAATTAATTTCATTTCAATTGTGCAGTCGCATCATTAGCACTGCGTACTCCTCCAAAAAAAAAATATGGTATAAACTGAGTATATTGTGGAGCCGGAAACCTGCTGAGTAAGCAATGATATCGTTTATAAGTTGCCCCCATACCGCAGTGCCTATTCCCTTTTTGCCCCAGCCATGCTCTCAAGTGCTATATCGTTTCAACTTCAGTTTCGAGTGGGCTTGAAAGGTGATTAACGCGATCATAGAAATGATGTTGGAGGAGGAGTACCGCTTGCGGTTGGGCTCATCTTTCCAAAACACCTCAAGTGGTAAGAAAAGGGGGGAGTAGTTATTACAAAGCAATAAGGCACGTGAAAAAATCCTGTATTATAGAACTACTATTTCTATTAGGACCATCCTTAAACCTAATGAGCCAAATGCTTAAGAAACTATTTACTTTATGGTTCCTCTTTGATACTCAAACAGTAACAGACCTTTCAGAATATTTTGTATATATTTTATTAAATTTTTTCCAGTGCACAATAGATCGTTAAGTGCTTAGATCATGATTCTTTCTTCCCTTCTGCGCTTGCGCACGCGCTAAATGTCAAAAAAATAACTGTGCTGATGGCGGTACGAATGTGTTGGGAAGGGGTTGGTGGAGCCGAAGACCTCATCCCACCGCCTGCTGTTTTCCCCCCCTGATGCCACCCGCTCGGCACGCCCCCCGCCCCCTTCTGACAATGGCACGCCCTCAGGCGGGCCGCCCACTTGGAACATGTCGAATCATTCATTCAGCACCCAGAGAGCAACACCACGAAATGTGGGCTGCGAGGTGTTGAAAACTAAATCGAAAAAGTGAAAAACTGAAAAAGCTTAAGCCTCCAAAACGAATCCGAGAGATACTCGGCGGCGCAGGCAGGCAGACAGGCAGGCTGGCAAGAAGGCATTTTGTGTGCATTTGTAATTGTTGAACTGCACAGCTCTGTACGGCTGTCATTATTTTCTGTAACATTTAGCAAAATCATTAATAATTGTTGCCGCGCTTGCGAGCAGGCCGTTGTTGCTCTTGGCCCGACACAGATACGCACTTAAAATTGTCAGACGACAACGGCAGAAAACAGCGATTTGGTGGCCTGCCTGGTGTTAACTTGATTAGCATTCGCATAAATTTTTGCAGTTGCATCTCGCGCCTCGCCATTTGCATAGAATGCCCATTTCGGCCTCATTGGGGTTAGAGCCATCGGATAACTATCTCCGATCTCCGATCTACAATCGCGAGTTAGACGGAATTCGAGGTGGCCCTGCCCCAATTCCCCAGCCTGAGAATTCAATTATATGCGCGCACTCGCATTATGCAAACAACAAAAAATAAATTCACTTTGAGGCGATAAGAAAGCGAAGAAATTATGAAAATTTTTTCCGAGAAAGTGCGCACAGACAAAACAAATTGCCGCGTAATCTCTGGGTCTCCTCGGGCCTCTGTGGGGTTGACAATGCCACAGACCAGAAATAAATAAATCGGAATCATTTGGGGATTACTTGTCCTGCCTTTATCGGCAAGTGCCGCCAAGTGGAATCAATCAAGTGGGCAACGGCAGCTCCTTGGAGGTTTTCGGGTTTCGGCCTTGTTTGTTTTCATTCTCGATCCCGAAGCGTGACAATATTTTGGCCACAATTCAAACGAAATGATCTCAAGGGTCTCTTCGTGTAATTAATCATGTTGACTCGAACGATAAGTTCTGCTCGGCTGAGTGCAGTGAATTTTTTCGGTATAAATGGGGAGAATCCTGGAACAGGTAGTCGAGTGTCACGGATACCCCTTGATCGTTGTGTGAGGTAAGAGGCAGTGGCATCAATAAATCTACAAGATATCGCTTGCCGGGAAATCAATAACCCTCGAAGGATACTCGCCCCCAATTTAAATATTTATTAGAAATCTTGACGATCTTGACATAAAAGTGACAAAATTGATACATTGTTATGTAAATGTTATGTTATGTTATGTGTTAGGTAGGATGTTATGTAAAGAGGGTGGAATAGGAACGAACTAATAAGTTGTAATGCCTTTAAAACCCTATACTTTAAAAGTTGGTTTAACCCATATTCCGATCCAAATGTGTACCTATTCGCGCTCCATTGATCGTTCTAGGCCAAAACGCTTATGAATTGGCTGACATTTGTCAACCCTCGGAATGGAGTCAAGTGCGGACTTGGAAATGTATCTTTAGCATATCTGGCCGCTGCGCCGCAAACAGAAGCGAAAACAAACAAAGAGCGACAAGATTCAGATGTATTTGCAAGTGTATCTTTGTGGCCATATCTGAAGAACGTCTGCTTCTGGCATTAATGGCAAATTGGCACGAAGTAAATACCGCGACAGGCGGATTAGTCAATTATCAATAGAGTTGCGAATGCGTGTGTGTGAGTGCTGGGTGTATCTGTGTGCGCAACTAATACCCGGACTGGCAGATACTTTTGTATCTTGGCTGGCGGTGTTTTTGTTTTTCTGGCTGCCACTTCACCTGCGTGTAGTATCTGCCACTGTTCACGCAAAGGTAACCACAGCTCGCTCTCGCCCTCTCTCTGTCGCGCTCTCGCGGACTGCATCTCCCCACCTGCTCGCACCTGTGTATCTGAGTATCTTGTAGCTCTCACTCTCTCTGGCGGCCGCTGATTGGCTGGCGTCTGAGTCTGCGCCGCTTTTCGGAGAGGCCACACCTCTGGTATCTCGGCGGGGGAAAAGCGACGTTTGCGTGATACTTCAGATACTTTTCAACCACCCAGCCCCCCGCCTGCCACCTGTCCCCTCCTGCCCACTGCCCCCTCGGAAAACATAAACTTTCGTCCATCGCTGTGGCTCCCTAATGGCCCCCGAGGAAACTCCAAGGGGGATGAGCCGAAATGAAAATGGCTTTTATGTGTGGCGTGCGTTGGGGTAATTTTATGATTCAGGGAATTACACGGCGAGCCGTCAAGGAAGCGAAACCATAGCACGTCCCCGCGGACACGGGGAAGTCCTCCTCCTTGACGTCGTTCTCCACCTGGCAACCGAAACTGGAATATGTAGATACAGATATGTTTTAATTGGCGCTTTATTGATTTCTGCCCACTTTGGCACAACGGCAGGCATCCAAGGTTCCCTAATTTATGCTTTAATTCTATTTAATTATGTTCTTTTTTCTTAAATGCGATGTTATCTAGCGACTGCATGGGGTCTATGAAGGTTTCGCGTGATGGGTGGACGGTTTTTATTATATTTTTTGGCTTTTTCGGATACCAACTATCAGAAATGTGTCAAAGCTAATGAAGGTGGTATGTGGTGGAGCGGATTTAAAAGGTAGGTTTATGTTTACTATGTCCTTTGATTTATTACTTCGCTCCAAAACATTTTATTAAGGTTTTAACTTCTGTAATTAAAGTCTTCTGGTATTAAAATTTTTATTACAATAATTAGAAATACATTATAAGAGGAATTAAAACACGGGTCCTCACTTTAGGTTTTATGTAAGGATGGTAAGAAGTATTTGGCGTTTTTCTGAGAAGCTTTAGATCCTTTTTCAATAGAATAGTATATCCATCTATAATATTAAATAAACCTATTTAATTCCACCCCATTTTGATTGAAAATCTTAAATGTGTTTAACCCATGACCACCTCTGCTGGAAACCAAATCTAAAATGGCGAATCCCAGGCGGTTCATTCAATTAAAATCGATCGCCGCTCTTATACGCCGTACACCTCCAATAAAATCAGCTGTGTGGCACACCTGAGAGGCCGTCGTATAAGAGCCGGGCCTCGATCACCTGAGCTCGGCAGTGAGAGTGGGAGAGCCAGGTAAGCCGAAACAACACCTGGTGAGCCACGAAAACCCTCAGATACTTTCGAAGAGAGCCGCACACAGGTACAGATACTGGGGGATGAGGTAGCTGGCAGCGACTAACTGACTGGCCTGGTCTGGCGAGGCTCGTCTGCGCGAAACCCTCGCTCGTCCAATCAGTACGAACTCGGTTCCCGCCAGCGTAGTAACTGCTTCGCCGACGAGCGCGTGAATAGTTTCCAAACGGTTTCCATACCAGATAATCAAAATAGGAAATAAATAAGACCCATAGCCGATATCCGTTGCCTGGAGTCGCGTCCAAAAGTGCCTTATTACAATTTATAGAATACGCATATACGAGTTCACTGCCGCAGCCAGAAACAAAAGATTCAAGCTACAAACCGACAGATACAAGTTACAAGTTGACGCTCAGCGAATGCGGAAGTGAGCAAAGCCGGCGGCTTTTTAATAATTTTTTGCGCTTCGAGTGCAATTAAGGCAAAAGGACGCAGTTAACGTCCGAAAACAAAAATAATAAGAAAAACAAAAAATGCTAAACGATCTTTAAATGTTCCCCATCATTCGTGCAAACAAAAGAAAACAAAAAGTGGAAGAAAGTGATCGAGTGCCTTCATTTGCATATCCTTGCAAATTAATTCAATTAAAGAGAAGAAATATTATTGAATAATACGAAAACGTGCAGCAATTTCTGTTGTTCCCAGTGCCATGTCAAACAAAAGTATTCAATAATAATATTCAATAACAAATCCCCAAAACCGAAATCGCAGCCTTAAATCGAAGTCCATCGAAGTTGATTAATCATTGCGCCTTGAACTGATCCGTTCGTGACTCGTGAGTCAGAGCAGCGCCACTTAATTATCCGCAAATAAAGTACGGATTCGAGCCGCAAATTATCGGGCTAAATATTTGGCTGCCAATTGGTAGAATTGGCAGAACCCCGGCCCTTTCCCTTCCTCCGTCCCGTGAAGCTTCATGCGAAAAACGCCGCTTAAATGCATACGGATATCATAATTGGTGAACAATTTGCCGTCAACAACAATTATTGGGTGATGCAGGTGAGTCCTGACAGTGATGTACTAATAAATTTTAAGAAATTTTCCATTTAATCAAATCAAGTTTATGTTAAAACCCTGCACTTGTTCCTGCCCAAGCTCAAGATCATTGTAAACGATTACGACCCGTAATAATATCAAAATGCGATAATTAAGCCGCTTTTATTGCAAATTAATTTTAGCCAAATTTGACAAACAATAAGCCCGAACACAAACACAAGACACAAATCACTCTAATGAAAAAAACGCTTAAGCCCACTTCCGCTTATCAAAATGCAAATCTCGCCCAGGCCCGGGCCAGATTTTGGCGATTCTGGTGCCAGATTTTTGCGAGTACGGGAGTATAAATAAAACGCACGCGGCAATCGCAAATTACAATAAAACCGAAAACAAATTAGCTCGATTATCGATGGATTGGATACAGATACTCGCAAGCCCGTACGTATGGGTCTTGGAGATGAGGAGACGCGGCTCGGCGCGGAGCTTGTGTGTTTTCGAGTATGTTTTCACACAGATTAGCACCTCGCATTTCCTCAGGTGTCCCTCTGAAACGAAATGTTTCTGTTACGGGTTCTGGTACCTTCGCTGCCCATCTGTATATATATTTTTTATTTATTTGACAATCGATTTGTAAATCTCGTTATCACCTGTGGGCGAATCCGCTGCACTGGCACCTCTTTAAGCCGTTCTTAAACACGGTCGGTTGGCTCCTTTGAACTTTTACGGACATTTGGCCGCACTTTTCACGCGTTCCGCGCTGAAATGTGTAGCGATCCTCCTCCTCGATGCATCTCCTTATTTTTTCCAATGTTGTGTCCAATGTTTGCCAGCCTGTTTTTCCGTCCCGTCAGTCTTCAGTTGTTTGCCTCAATTGTTTGACTCGCGCTTACTTGCGAAGCTCTGGGTCAATATTTGTCCTCAACACTTTGCCAATGTGCCCAGTGTCGTTCGTCGCCTTCGGAATTGCCGATGAGTTGCCTTCGCAGGTCTGTCCTCAGGTCTAGTTGGGGTTATAGTTGTATTCCGACCGATCAGGGTGGCTTTGTGTTCTACAACTGTCTTGCGGATGAGTAATATTCGCTTTAATTCTGGCCTCTACAGAACCTTAATGTAGCGGAACCGATCGAAGAAAGGAAGAGTAGGGAGTCCCATGCCCTCTGAAAAATAAAGTAAAACTTTACCACCCCTCACTTATCTTTGCCATTATTGTAGATACTTTTTGTAGAACAACAAGCCTACCAGTTTTACGCCCATTGATAAAAACTTTCCCCAAGAAGTCTAGCCCCACTAAGTGACTCTTCAGAATACTTCCTTCCAGTCAAGATAAGCAGAAGACTATACACATACGTGACGGAGTGGGGGCTACAGGAGAACCTTCGGTATTGGCGATTCCGGGGAAAAAGCATTGTGGTTGTCGTAAAAGAGCTGGGTGTTCGTTTCGATGGCCGGAGGGACAAGTGTTGTTGCTTGTTCCGCCTGTCACCATCAATAGCTGCACTAATTAGGCATGTGTTGTCAAATATTTACACACAGTCGCAAAAGTACAAAGCGCTGTAGCCCCTGCACACCTCTCTGCCCCTCGGTCTTCCAATTCTTCTCGTCTCGGCCGGCTCTGATAAGTCGCCAGGAGAGGGAGGTGGCGGAGCTTCTTCCGTTTTCCACTGATTTAACAGATATGGTAAGATATGGCAAGGTAATTCCCACGACTCGGTGCGATTATGACGAAAAACTTTCATATTTTATGGCCGGCAACGAAATTGGTTTACGACCGTTTACAGGGAATTAGCAAGCAATGAGTATCCGAGTCAGATAGTTGGATACTTTCAGTGAATAATGGAACTAATCAAGCACGTAGGCATTCCTATATTCCGCTGGGGCTATGCTCTGATTAATGGCCCTGAACCGGGCACTGAGCCCCAATCGTAAATAATTAAATATAGATAAAGTCAGATAGCTCTCATACTCTAAGACTGTCAGCACGGGCCAAAGAATTATGCAAATTCTGGGGGAAACTAAACGAAACCTGCAATCGAAGCAGTTGAGGTGATTTGTCAATAAAGAAATAAGAGCCATGTACTCCTCATAGATGAAATAAAAGTATATGGGTATATGACCATTCGAATCTATATAAAATATTTGCATTTACGAATCAGAATCAGAATCAGACAAAGGCGGCCGCCTTCAAAGTCGAAATCGTTGCTGAAATTTAACAAGAATTGCAGCCTGATATCTGACGGATACAAAATTGCCCCCTCTCCCCGCCAGTCCTCAACTGAGCCATAAAAAATCGTGGCAAATTAGATAGAAAAGGCCAAATAATGGTCCCGATAAGATAATGATGCGAAATGTTCATGTCAATAGTTGACTTTCCATTTCGAAATGAGTTCAAGATTGGATCGTAGCCCAAACAAAACACCAAATGCCAATTACACACCGTCCACCCGCCCAGACCCAAAACAGTTAAATAATAATAATAATAACTGGAGTAGGTCCTAAAACAGTTTGCCGAAAATCTCATTAAGGCCCAGTGGGAGATCGTCCATCGTTTTCGATTGACCTAGCTGATTCCTAAGACCTGGCCGAGTCCCCCGAACAATTTCGATTTCCTAAATCATTCCGAAGGCGCCACAGTACTACGGCTCTTTGATTTCTAGTTTTTGCCATATTTTTTTGGCAACTCATGCAAATGAAAACGAAAACTGCCAAAAATGGGGCAGAGCGGAAGGCGAGGAAAAATATCATTTATTTGTAGTCAGTTTTGATTGATTCGCCGACTGGCCAAATTGGAGGTCAGAATCGGGCACGCGAATTAATCACTCACTTTTCGGTGATTGCATCCAAAGAACTTCGAGGAAATATGATGGGCCAATATCGGAGAAAGCACATTTATTCAATTTATATCTCAAGATATAGGACTTAGCCATTGAATTCCTATTTCCTCAAAGAGTGTCCAGTCCAGTATCTGATAAAATGTCTAAGGGAATAAAACACAGTATCCATCAATCTCCCATTTTTTTGAAAACCTTTTAAATAGAATCTGTAGAATCTGCAGATCTTTTTCATGCCAATTTTATAGCACGTGAGTGAACATTTATTGCCCCAGGCAAGCCCTTTTGCCCCACTAATTCCAACATTTCTTCGCGTCAGCTCAAATTTTTGATAGATTGCCGGGCCTAAAGCCGAAATAAAAAGAGAAGAAAAAGCGAACGTGTTTGGATTCGGCGAATTATTGCGGAAACTAGTTTGCCGAAATATGCGGAGAATAAAGGCAGGCCTAAAGCCGAAAGAGGTGCTAAAACCCCGTTGGGACCTCTTTTCGATCCGAACATTGAAGCGCAATTCGTTTCAAGTTTGATTGGATCAAAAGCTCAGTGGATGACAGCGACACGTTTCCTTCAAAATGGAAATGGAATGAAATCAAAATTAAAGTTGCGAGCTGCTCATTTGATGCCGCATTAAGATCAATTATTTGATTATGAAACAAAATCTGCGTAAAATCTTCAAATAGTTGACCCCAGCCGATGTCAAATGGCCGAGCTGTAAATTTCAGCCGACGAGCTCTGTCAAGGCAACAAAAACAAGGTGAGAAATGAGTCAAAATAACAATGGGCTGAACACATTTGATCGCGGCCCGATGATAAAGCCATCATCAGATATACACATACTAGATTGGATGGGACAGAGACTGGGGCTGAGGCTGGACTGGACCCATCGCCATTGCCGTCGATCGTCAAGCCCCACAAAAGTTCAAACAAACATGTCCGACTTAAATTCAAATTGCAAATTTAAATTGAAATCGAAATCGAATTCGTTGTTGTAAACACATTTCGCAAGCCACCATATAATCTTGTTTATACATTTATTTGGTGGGCGAACTGAAAGAGAGAGATCAGCAGCGAACATGCGCCTAAAATTATTTCAATTCACATTATTTGCTTACTTAACTTTTATCACCCGGGCCAAGATACATATCTAAGCCCGATAATTGCCAGAGTACCCAAGTATACACGAAACGTTGAAGCAACTTTGAGAAGAGGCGCCCAGCATTGAGATCTCTTTTGGGCAATTGACCCACTAATAGAGCCTGTCAATAAACGTGGCCAGCGGCTTCGATTTGGCCATTGAACTTTGGCTGGTGGCCCCTTGGATGGGGGCCCCTCGGCTATATTTCCTGTAAACACAAATTAATTGCCCGCAAATCCTGTTCGGCCGATCGGCCCATCGGCTGGGCATTATTCAACAGTTTTCATTTCAAATTTTTATTGATTCGAGGCTTATGCTCAACATGTTGCGCATGCCAAGTTTTCCGTAAAACTAAAGCCCCTTTTCACGCTCCAGCGATCCTTTGGGCTGCGATCGGAAATTGGCTCTGTAGGCCCAGTGTTCCAGGGCACTTCCTGTATCACCCCCGAGAAATATGCCCTTTCGATAGCCGATTCATAGCTTCACTGGTCACCCTAATAGCCGTCGTCGATATGTGTTATGATTGCTTAGCGTGAAATTGTGAGAATAGTTCGGAGCGACGCGTCATCGACATCAATTAATATTTTATGATGCATTCCAGCGGGTCCTCGAAGGATATTCAATATCCCGGTGATATGCAATAGCTGTGCGAATGGTTTTATGCTAATGAGTGCGGGGGTGAAAAATTCTAGAGGATATGGAAATGAACAAGGGCGACTCTGGGGAAGTGCGAAAGTGTGGTGTTTTTGTGGGCCATAATACATGGCTTGGGAAAAATAAACTAGAGTCATTAGACAAATAGAGTAGAGCTCAGGGTATAATAACACGGCAGGAAGTCTCTGGGCTGAAATTTAGTGCAAATACTACGAATTTATTCATTTACTCGCACAAAGATCATTTGCTATGGTTGTTTGCATTCTCCAGAACCCATAACTAATTTAAAACATTTATTTATGGGAAAACGCTAACCTAAAACCAATAAAAAACCAATTAAATCCACTTACAAGTCCCCCACAAATAAATTTCAAAACAAATCGCTG